CTGTGTTCTTTTTTCGCCATGTGTATCGCCTCTTGTTGTGACCAAATAATTCGATTTTTGTTTTGTCAGTCCACAGGATCTTATTCCAAAAGGATGCTGGCTTGTCCAAATGTGCTTTTGCATAGTTCAAGCGACTCAATTTGTGGCGACTGTGAAGAAAGGGCTTCTTACGCATCACTCTGCCATACAGCATTTCCTTATGCAAATTGCGCTGTATTGTTGACCTGTGCACAGTGACCCCATCTGCAGCTAGATCACTCTGCAAGTCTCTGGTGGTGGTCTGTGGGTTGTCTTTAACCATTCTCACCATCCTTCGTCTTTGCCCCGCTGAAATTTTACTTGGCCTACCACTTCTGGCCTTGACAAGGACTGTGCCTGTGGCTTTCCACTTTCTTACAATGTTCCTCACGGTAAACACTGACAGCTGAAATCTTTTGGAAAGTTTTTTGTAGCCTTCCCCTAAACCATACTGCTGGATAATCTTGGTTTTGAGGTCATTTGAAAGTTGTTTTGAGGCCCCCATCTTGCAACTCTTCAGAGGAGAGTCAAAGAGAAAAAGAACTGGCATTTGGTCACCTTAAATAGCCTTTGTCATGATTGGATGCACCTGCCTATTAAGTTCACTCAGCATTTCCATGCATTTTCTGCAAGGAAATGCAATTTTTCTAGTTTCCACTTCCAAATTTGTTCACTGAAAATACAGTAGCCCTTACAATGGCTTTAAGTCTAGTTAAGGTACACTATTATTACAATACAATACAATACAATGTAAATGTCAATGAGCTTTTTAATAGGGTGTTGGATGCTAAATCTGATAGTCTAGAATAGAATAGAATAGAATAGAATAGAATATTCCTTTACTGATCCCCCATGGGGGAAATTTTTTTGTCACAGCAGCATCACAGACAAAGAGCGCAAAAATGCAGTTATAAAAATAAAGATCCTAATATTAAGAACTTAAATAAATGTAATAATTAAGAAATAATCTAAGTCTAAAAGTCTAGGAAAGGTTTTAATGTAAGAATTTTGTTAGGAGTTTCGATAAATGGATTTTGGATTAACAATATTGGATTTTCACTAAAACTACCAAAATTTCTGCCATGTGAGGAGTTTCGTTATAAGCAATGCCAAGTGTAATGTGGGAGTGTTGTATAGATATTGGATTTTCACTTGGACTTCACTTTGTTGGCATTGGTGTGCACAGTACACCCCTTTACAGTGGGGACATAAGGAAGCGAAATCTGCAAAGTGAAGCGGGGCGAAACTCGGTGTTCTAAAGGTAAATATCTACCAGTCTACTACTCTCCTCGAAGATAACTATAGGTTATAATGACATGTGAATCTGCTGTGTATTTTGACTGGACCACTGTACAGCTATAACAGTGTGAGTAGTCATAAGATGCTAGAGCATAGAGGCCCTCAGACATCGCAATTGGCATCTGCATCGCTTTGGGCCCCCTCCCAGGCCCCTAGACCCTTGGGCCCCTGGGTGCCGGCCCCACTGGCCCCGTCCGTAATATGGCCCTGCCGCCACTCAGCGTGGGAAGCTATCATTCTACAACCTGCATAGCTGATAGATAGCTCAGCCAATAACCTTCCTTGCATCCAACTAGCAACTGTCAGAGAGGTCATTCTATTTCAACTGTTTTAGCCAGCTGCTTCCACCACATCTGATTGCAAACTATCTGTCCTCTATTTATGCTATGTCTAATCTGACCAGGGTCTACATGGAAAGGCAGGGAGCTCTGAGAACAGAACTATACCATGTGTTATGACTAATACACATGTACCATGTTTTTGTTTTTCCCTCCAGGCTGGATCATAGAAGACTGCAGAGACTGAGACCCTGACTGAACAGATGGGAGTGTGTTTGTTTGATTTATGAGAACACATCTGGTGTTCACTTGGATCTAATTAAACTGATTGTGTGAATTAGACTGTATGTACATACATTGGAAACTGAGGGTTAGTGTAGGTTTCCCATCGCCATACAGTGGATTAACAGAGTGACCTTTAAATCTTAATCCAGTGTCACAAATCCATGTCCATCCACCATGATACCTGAACTACAGCACACTGATCTACCTGCACACAGGTGATTGAAACTGTTCAGTGCTGCTGCAGCTGTTATTACAACTATACAGTATGATGTTAGGGATGTCAGACATTAAGCAGAGTTTAGTATGAAATAAAAATGAGAGTTTATCTCAGTGTAGTGGTTTATGCATGAACAGATGATCACCTGCAGCTCTGCAGTGTCTCTTTATTTCCTTCAGGGGCCTATCCTTATCTTCAAAAACATCTGAATCCTGGCCCCAGCTGCTGTGTAGAGAGGGTCAGACGGGTTGCTTTAACTTGGAGGTAGAGTGGAGAGGAAAAGTTACATTGAGTTACAGAGGAAGAGGACACAGCATGATCAAAAGTTTGGAGGTAATGATCAGTCCTGGAGTCTGGGGTGCTCTAATGATGGCAGCTACTCGTTCTATCACAGTAAAAGATCAAGCATCACCTCTGGCCTTTATCTTCTGTGTTTATCCCCCTGCCAGAGGGGAAACAGTGAATGTGGACTGTCCTTCTACAGAGTCTCCTCTGACACACTGGTCCACCTCCACACCTTCAACACCATCTTCAGCGACTCTCTCTCCTGGGTTTGAGTGCTGGTCACTGTGTTCCTCAGTTTCTCTGAGACTCGGTCTGAGTTCTAGCGGATGGTTTTGCGTTTCCGCTGAAAGCTTTTTTCAGTTTTAGACCTCCAATTATGAAAGAGTCTTTGGGATGGAAGATTCACACTACAGACTGCAGTATGGAGAGCACCAGTGTCTGGCAGAGAGCAGAAATATGATCATTACAGAAAGAATCAGTGTAATATGTGAGTTTCCGTCTAAAGCACTCAGTCTGCTCAGTACAATGGAGAACATTTGTCTGTATGGAAAGGAAAGGTTTGATAAAGTTTAAAAAATGTGTAAAGTGTAGTGTTGTCTGAGATTTGTATAAGCCTTTTTGAATCATTGTATAAACAATGTGAACTCTCTTTCAAAATAAAGCCTTTTAGCCTTTCATGAGAAAGCTCTTTTTCTAAATGTGTAGAGAAAGAGAATGAGATGATGATACCCTTAATCTCAAAGCATTGTGGTGTGTCTGGGCTGTCCTCGATGTGTAGATGTAGAGGGAGGCTTCGTGACACTGGCTTGCTTGTATAAGAGGAGTTTATTATAAAGACAAAACCAATATCAATACAGCACTGCAGTTGCTGGGAGAGGACTGCCAATGATGTCCAGCTCTCCCAAACCAGAGTTTGTGACCCTGTTATATACGGTTAGGGATGTAAGCCCTCCTACATTTCTTTCTTTGTCCCCAAAATATCTTTCCTTATCATCTGGTGTTTGGTAAACCTAGAGTGGTGTTTTATGACCTGTGGCCTGTGTCCTGTGAAGTGCCCCTTCCAGGCTATCTCACCCCAGGTATCACTAACGAAAAACAAATAAACACAAGCCCACAGTCCACAACTGGTTCTCAGGCTATTCCTGAGAAATATCTTAAGGCAATGCATAGTGGTGTAGTACTCCAGATACCACATATTTCCCCCCTTCGAGACTCCATAGAGTCTCGAAAAAGGCAAAGACATGTTTATGATTTTATTTTACTATTAAAATTTGGAGTGTGAGAGCGAAAACCTGTCAGGCAGCTATTGTTCCATTAGTATCCATCAGACAATCTAGACAGGAAAAAGTCACTCATGGTCCCTCTGCCCTAGGCGACCACCTATTGTACTCCAATCCAATTGAAAGGTAAGGGTTAGACTTTATGTGGAAATAATGTTTGGCGGAAATATTCTTGGGAATCTCAGAAATAAATTTATTATTATCCACAGTCAAGCTGGTCTTCCCATCGGACCTTTCGGTGGATCTATCCCTGCCTAACACCACTGATCCTAAACAAAAACAAAGAAAATACCTGAGATCCCAATACATTCACTTTACAACTTAAGCTATGAATAACTAACCCCCCTTTCATACTTTCCATTCTTCCTATGCTGTTTGGTATTGACATGAACATTAAAATACGACACAGAGAGATAAATTGACATTCATATCCCAGATTATACATTAACAAACTCTATGATTAAAATGAATAATAATTTTTGCTCCTTAACATCTTTGGCTGCTTGTGTATTGTTCTTGTCCATGGGTGTTCTCCATTTGTGTATCCAATGCAATGTTCTTGTTCACATCCTCTGTCAGGTTTCAGTTGTGTTTACATTGTCCATGTTTGACTGTCTTGTTGGGAGGTGTGGGTCCATTAAGGCTGTTTAGATCTCTGGAGAACCACCTTTCTTTAGCTGGTCTCCCCAACTGCTGTCCTGGGGATGAAAAAAAAAAAAGCAGCATTTTGCCAAAAAACATAAATTTTGTTTTGACATGTTTATCCTATTTTCCCCTAAGTAATACCTCCCCTTTACATCATCAAAATGTAAACCTGTGTGCTGGCCAATCTTACCCAGAGGGTTTTTCATCACCCCATTCATTTTTTTACAGATACCTTGGCTTTGCGGATGGTACACAGCTCCCAAACATTGTTCAATTCTTAGTTTTTTCAAATCAATTTCACTGTTTTATCCACAAACTCTTCTCCATTATCTTCAAATATTTAATCTGAAAGTCCCCATCTGCTTATGACTTCCTTACACAAGAACTTGGCAACATACTGAGCATCTTTTCGCTTGGTTAGACAAGCTTTAACTGTTACACCTTCGAACATTATTTTTTAGACACATTGTACATCTACTTATGACATAATCAAAAATTTGTGGTGTCCAAAAACCTATTCCTTTATGATGTTTCTTGTAACTTCCCCCCTTGCATCATTGGCTAACCTTGGCCTCCTGAATCGTTCTTTTCCACAAATAATCAATGTCCTTGACAAGAACCATCTTTTACTTACTCACCAAAAACTTTCTTACTTTCTCCCTTCACTCATCCTCTGATAGAGCTTTCTTCTACTCAATAACAGTCAAGTGCATAATGACCTAGTTGTCCACACCTATAACATGCTTCTGAAAATGCGTGGAAGTTTGGATTGAAGTTTCTTTCTGTATTGCTTCCACTCCATGTCTGCAACTGACTGAAGACTGGTTGTGCATATGGATCTAAAGGAGCTACTGGCATCAGCTGGGGTGGTCGGTCCTGCATCTGTTCCTGTTGCAGTTGCATTTTTGCCTGCTCTGATTGAGATTGGCTCTGCATAATCACAGCTTGTTTCTTCTCCTTCTTTTTGCTATTTCCCAAATGTATCTGGTTAAGTTGTCTCAGGATCTCTTGATCATGCTCTCTTTGCTCATTCTCTTTCTTCCTGTACAACTCCACTTGATGTGCTATATGGTCTGTGTATATCCCTTTTGTCATACTACCAAGACCAACCACTTCCTCTAATTTATTTTTCACTGGCTGGGGCAACCCTTTTTGTATTTTGGCTCGCAAAATAGACTGCTCCATTTGGTGCATGTCTGGATCGTTTCCTGTAACATTTCTCCAAATTTGATGAGCCTTTGATACATAAGCTCTTGGATTCTCTTGTGGTCCTAGTGGTTCAATTATAATGTTATCTGGATGTACATTTGTTGGAAATACATCTCTCAGTGATCTCCACATCCGAGCTCTACACGCAGCAAACAGTTCTGGGTCATTTACCGCAGTCCCTGCATACCGGTTAAGCCCTGCTCTCTGCAAGATCTCTTCCATAGCTGGGACCCCTAAAATGCTGTCTCCCATAGCAGGCTGCCATCCCACCATAATTTCTTCTAACTTGGAAATCCAAGGGTGAGCTCCTTCCTGAAGAGTAGGCAACTTTTCAAGAATGTCTGACATGTCTGTATTTTGCAGAGGCTTGTACTCCAAATTCTGTCCCCAAACAATAACTGGACACATTTTCCCAGCTGGCTTATCCCCTTTTCTTGGGCGTAAGGAATATCCTGAAGTGGATGGCTTTTCAACTCCTTTTTTCTTCAAGTCATTCTTTATTATTTGTAGCTCTTCTAATTCTTCCCTCAATTCTCTATGTTTTTCAGGACTGGTAACACTACTTAGGTCACCATAGCATTTATCTATGCGTTTCTCAATCATTTTCCAAGCTCTATGCTGTGCCTCAGCTTCAGTCCTTGGTGTTGACCAAAGGGAATATGAAGACTCTTCACTGTCGGATTCTTCATCCCTATCATTATCTTCACTCTCCTCTGAGGTGTCCTTTACTGGCTCTTTTTTCCTCAGTGATTTTCCTCCTCTTTTCTCTGCTCTGGCTAATATGTTTCTAACTGCTGGGTCATAGCCTCCATTAGCCTCTTCTGAATCACTCTGACTATCATCTCCCATTTCTATTTTTCTGTATTTTTGTTCACCCCTAGCTGCTGGATGACCTGTTTTCTTTTTAGGGCAAGGAGATCACAGGTCATGGCCTAACAGCCACGGCCCAGCAGGGACCCGAGCAGAAAATAACAACTGTAAATGTAAGTATATAAATAAATAATAATAATAATAATAATAATAATAATAATAATAATAATAATAATAAATAGATGAATAAATAGAATAAAAATAAAAAAATTGGGAATGACATTGTCAGAGAACTGAGATGGATGATGTTGTGACTGGTTTGTGGCAGATTATGATTGTAGAAAAGTGATGAATGATAACCAGGTAGTGTTATGATTATTTTCAGAGGAGTTTGTATTTTCTAAGGAGATGTAGTCTATGAGCAGGTTTTTCCAGTGTATGATGTGTATGGAGTTCCGAGACTTCCAGTTCATGAGGATAGTTTTCTTGGCGACGGTTAGTGCCACTAGAAGTGAACGTGTGTGTGTTTTGTCAAGTTTTAATGTAGATAGGTCTCCTAATAAACAGAGGGAAGGGGAAAGTGGGATGTGGCAGCCCATGATCTGTGATAATGTTTCTGTAATGTTTCTCCAGAAGTGGTGAACAGGTGTGCAGTGCCAGGTTGCATGAATATAGGTATCAGTGCAGTTTAGTGAGCAGTGTGAACAGTTTCCAGATGATGAGAAGCCCATTTTTTGCATTTTGTGTCCAGTCAGATGAGTTCTATGAAGGATTTTGTATTGTATGAGTTGTAAATTGGCATTTTTCGTCATGGAGAAAATGTTCTTGCAGATTTGGGGCCAGAAGTCAGCATCAGGAGCAATGGAGAGGTCACTTGTCCATTTTTCTGAAGGTATGGAGGGTGTTGAATCGGCCTGTGATAATAATTTGTATATTTTAGATAGAAGTTTCTTTGAGGAAGGGATGTTAATAAATTTAGAGGGTAACGGGGGGAGGTCTAAGTTTATATTCTTGTTTTTCATTGTTGATTGGATGGATGATGAAACCTGTAGATATTGTAAGAATTGATGGCTCCTGATGTCAAACTTCTGGACCAGGAGAGAGAATGGGACCAGGGTGTTATTGTTGAAGATATGTTTGAGGTGAGTAATCCCTTTCTCTACCCAGGTGCTGAAGTATAGTGATTGTTTATTGCTGATGAAGTCTAGGTTGTGCCAGATCGGGGTGAAAAGCGATGGTGCCAAAGTGGAGTTAGTAATGCTGTAGAAATTCCACCAGGCTTTCAGGGCCGATGATATTGTGGGGTTTTGGAAACAGGGGTGTTTTTTGATAGTTTGACTAAGGAATGGTAGGTCTGAGAGATGGATGTTTTTGCTAACTATTTGTTCTACGTCTAATGAAGTGCTATCTGACTGGGTGGGGTGGGTCCATTTGTAGATGTATTGAAGTTGATTTGCTAGTGAGTAATAATGAAAATTTGGAGCATTGAGTCCGCCTAAACTTTTTGATTTTTGAAGAGTGGCCAGTTTGATTCGTGGGGGTTTATTTTTCCAGTAAAATTTGTTGATGGATGAATCGAGGGAATGAAACCAGGTGAGAGGTGGATGAGTGGGAATCATTGAACAAAGGTAACTGATTTTGGGGAGGATTGTCATTTTAACTGTTGCTATTCTGCCCATAATAGATAATGGGAGGTTCATCCATCGTTGGAGATCGTCATTGATTGTTTTTAGGAGTGGAGTGAAATTCAGGTTGATCAACTCTGACAGCCTGGGGGAAATGTGGATGCCTAAGTAGGTGATGTGACTTGTGCAGAAGGGGATGGGTGTTGTAAGGGCTGCCACAGCCAGACTGTTGGTGTTTAATGGGAGTATGGAGGATTTGTTCCAGTTTATTGAGTAGTCAGAGAGAAGGGAGAAGGATTTGATGACTCTGATTACTTCTTGTAGTGATGATTTTGGATTATCCATAAAATTTAAATGTCATCTGCATAGAGGCTGATTTTATGGTGCATGTTGGGGGTTTGGATTCCTGTAATGAGGGGATTCTGACGGATGGCTGCTGCTAGGGGTTCAATGAATATGGTGAACAAAGAGGGAGAGAGTGGGCAACCTTGCCTGGTCCCCCTGTGAAGAGTGAAGCTTTGTGAGGTTTGTCCGTTAGTAATAACTGTGGCTGTAGATGAGGTGTAAAGTGTTCTAATCAAGTTAATAAATGATTCCCCAAAGCCGAAACTGTGTAGGGTGTGGATGAGGAATGACCAGTTAACTCTGTCAAAGGCTTTTTCTGCATCCAAGGTGGCTATGATTGAGTTATGGTTATGTGTGGTTGAGGGGTGCATTATATTGAATAGTCTGCGTGTGTTATTGGATGAGTTTCTTCCTTTAATAAATCCTGTTTGATATGGGTGAATAATGGATGGAATAATTTTTTCTAATCGGTGGGAAAGTGCCTTGGTGATAATTTTAATGTCAACATTGAGAAGTGAAATGGGGCGGTAACTTGAAGGCAGGGTGGGGTCTTTGTTTGGTTTAAGAAGCAGTGAGATGGATGCTGTATTCATGTTGGGTGGAAGTCTGGAGGCTTGTTGTGTTTCTGTTATCATTCTGTGGAAAAGTGGAGCTAAGATGGACCAGAAGTGTTTGTAGAACTCAGCAGGGAAGCCATCAGGACCGGGTGCTTTATTGTTAGGCATTCTGTTGAGGGCAGATTGGATTTCTTCAGTTGTTAGGGGTGTGTCTAATGTGTTTTTTTGTTCAGGGGAGAGTTGGGGTAAATTGAGGCTGGTGAGAAATAGTCTGATGTCTTCTTCCTTAGGGGTGTTATCTGAGGGGTATAGGTTGACATAAAATTCTCTGAATATTTGATTTATTTCATCGGGTGAGTTTGTTGACTTTCCTGCTGAGTTCATGATGGTGGAGATTGTGGATTTTTCTTTATTTCTTTTGATTTGGTTTGCAAGATATTTGCCGGATTTGTTATTGTGATGGAAGTTTTCCTGTCGGAGCCTGCTGATCATGAAGATAGTTTTCTTGTTCAGAATTTCATTTATTTCTAGTTTATATTTTCTTAATTTCTTCTCGTTTTCTTCTGTTGGATTAGTTGCATTGACAGTTTCTAGCTGTTTGATTTTTTCTTGTAATTCAGATTCTTTTTTGTTCTCTTTCTTTTTCTTATGGGCTGAATATGAGATGATAATTCCTCTGATGACTGCTTTACCTGTTTCCCATTGAAGTGTGGGGGATGGCTTTGGGGAATCATTTATTTCCAGGAAGGATACCCACTCTCTTTTGATGAGGTTGTTAAATTCAGGATCTTTCAGGAGGGATGTGTTAAAGCGCCATCTGGTGACTGGTTTTTGTGGTCTTGGTGGGTTCCATTTGAATGATACTGGGGCATGATCACTGATAATGATGGGGTGGATTTGATGATCAAAAATATTTGAGATGATTGAATTGCTGGTAAGGAAGAAATCGATGCGTGAATATGAATGATGTACTGATGAAAAAAATGAGAATTCTCTGACAGTTGGGTGTTGTAGGCGCCAACCGTCGCCAAGACCAAAATCACTCATGAACTGGATTATTGTTTGAGTGGATTGCCAGATGCGTGTATTGCTTGATGTGTTAGATCTGACTATTGATGGGTTTAATACTGTGTTAAAATCGCCGCCAATTATTATTGGGGAGTCAGAAAAGTTGGATATGGATGAAAAGAATTTATGAAAAAAAGACGGGTCATCAGTGTTTGGGCCATATATATTACCAATTGTCAGTGGGCTATTATTGATTGTTATGTTAATGATGACAAAACGTCCTTCTGGGTCTATTATGGTGGTATTGTGTATAAATGATATTGATTTACTGATTAAAATACAAACTCCTCTTTGTTTTTTATTGAAATGTGATGAGAATGAGTGAGTAAACTGAGATGATTGTAATTTGATGTTGTCTGATTCTGAGAGATGTGTTTCCTGTAGTAAACAAATATCTGCATGGAGTGAGGTGAGATGATTAAATACTTTATTTTTCTTAGCCTGAGTTCCAATGCCACGGATGCTCCAAGAAACGAATTTTATTGCTGACATGTTGGGTGACTTTGATCAAAAGGAGAGGGATTCATGATGCTGAGTGAGTGAATGTGTGTGTATGCGTGTGTGTGTGTGAGTGTGAGTGTGAGAGAGAGAGCGAGAGAGAGAGAGAGAGAGAGAGAGAGAGTAGACAAGTGAATACAAAACAAAAAGGGACATATACATATATATCTCATGCATCAGAGTTAGGGACAAAGAACAAATCAAATGTTTAGTACATTACAATCACTTCATTCAATTCAATTTACTACCACTATTTAAAGATTTCTTCTACCATAAGACTACCTAAATTTATTATACACCATTCCCCTTATCATGGTATATCATTTAAAATTTTCACACAACTAGGATAGTTAAACTAGCTTTTTTAGCTTTCTTTCTGTTCTCAGGCCTGTAAGAAGAGAAAGAAAGGGGGAGAAAAAGCTCCCTGGATTCTCCTAATCTTTAACTAGGACTTCCCTCTAAACATAATCATCAGCAAGTGACCATTCACTTTAAATATTGACACACACACAGAGGAAAACCACACCCATCAGTTAGCAAATCATTCCTTTTTACCCCACTCTCTTACTCTGTTTTTTCCCCTGTATCTGTATGAACATAAATGTGCTTGCTGGTTTTTACACTTCTTTAATTGCCATTTTACTCGAGGATGTTATCACCATCCAAAGTCCTCCTCATCTAATAAGGGGCTCATTTCTTACTATTAGGTGTACAAATGTCCTCTTTATCCTGAGAGGCTCATAGCAGTTACTTATTCTATTAACGTCCCTGTACAAAGAAAACAGGGCTCATATGTTTTTTAACACTACAAAGGCAACAGTATCTCTTCCTTTTTATGTTAATTTCTTATATCATATCATTATATATTTAATAAGACATCATTTATCACTTTATCATAAGTTAATCACTTATACCTATGCTAGACCATTCCCCAACTTTGTGCACACAGACTCTTTTGCACTCACACTCACAGCTCGGCACCCATACACACACTCCTCTCACATACACACACACCAGAAGCTTCTCTCACACACTCAAACTTCAGCACACCTCTCCTCACAGAGCTCAATGTTTCCTTACTATAGTATATAGGCCTTTTTTTTTTTTCCTCTTTAAACTGTCCTTTCCGGTTTGTATGCCCAATCGCGTCGTCCCTTGTTAGAATAATGTGCATAAATGTATATAGAAGTTATCATTATTCCTCATATTCTTATGCAGGGTTTTTCCTGGCTCAAATTGAGGCAGAGGTGGCACCATCCTGACCATGCGCCATGACGTGCATGTATTTGTAAATTCAACCGACTCACTTTCTTTTACAGGCAACATACTTTAAGTTAAGAGTTCAAAAAAGAGTGTGACCATTATCATGTTAAAGCATTCATTTATTAAAACTATATACATACACAAATCAGCTGGCAACTTTAAATTGAAAGTACACTTCATCCACACATCTCGCAACCAGACAGAACATTTCAGCCTCCTCTTTTTCATTCTGTAGAACCTCCTCATGCACTCCTTGTAGTCCAAGGCCTCCTGGTCTGGTCCATCAACGGCCACCTTACAACAGACATCCAAGTGCCTCTCCTTCAGTCTGTTCAGCAGAGGTGTCTTCACCTTAAACAAAACAATTCATCATGCATTAAGTATTTTTGTTTTTATTCTGATACAGACATGAAGAGTGATAGTGTTTTCAATCATATATTATATATATGTATACGCTGCAGTGTCCTCCCTAAAAAAAAAACGACAACCAATTATTTCTTAAACTATCTAAACTATGTTATTTTAGTTTTTGTAACTTTATTAGTTGAGTGTTTTTAGGTACTACCATCTTTAATATACTTCTCCTTCTCTTCTGCTGCTTTGTGAACGGCTGTCACCTCATGTCTTTTAATGTGTCCAGCCTGTACAGTGCCTGACAAAAGTCTTGTCGCTTATCCATTTTGTAGAAACAACAGCTTATAACCTGACTTGTCATTAATCCATTAGTTTTAGAAATGGCTCATATGAAAGCTAAAACCCTCCCAAATTATGTTTAAAATCTAAAATAAATTTCCTTCACCGAAGAAAGATTGATCATTTAATGAACACAGAAAGGTCAGATTTTGGCAAGACAAAAGTTTTGTCGCCTACATGGAGTAATGTGAAAATTGAACAAATAATTTACTTCAAATACAAAATATGTTGCACAACATCAGTGAATCAAGTAGTGGTGCTGTGAGATCCATATTTAATGTCTTGTATGACTGCCATGAGCCTGAAGAACTGCATCCATGCGGTTCAGCAACGATTCATACAATTTATTGATGAAGTCATCAGAAATAGCAAAGAACGCAGTCTTACATGCTTCCCAGAGTTCATCAAGATTCTTTGGTTTCGTCTTCCATGCTTCCTCTTTCATTTTACCCCAGACATGCTCGATGATGTTCATGTCTGGTGACTGGGCTGGCCAGTCCTGGAGCACCTTGATCTTCTCCGCCTTGAGGAACTTTGCTGTAGAGATCTAAGTATGCAATCAAACACTGTTGGGATTGAAATTGGACATTTCTTGTAAAAAAAAAAAATATTGCACATATGTTTGAGGGGCACTTAAGGTCAACTTGTACCCAAGCGACAAGACTTTTGTCAGGAACTGTAGTTGGTTGATGGCTGTCTCACTAAGAAGGCAGCAATTGCCTGCTGTGTTGGGGCACAGTGCATTTGGCATAAATAACAGTGCATGCCTTCCTCAGTATGCCTGAGCCAGGTAAATTGATTGAGCCATTGTTGTCAAAGCCACTGGCTCTGTGTTTTTGAGAAGATCTGCAAAGAGGAATAAAAACTACGTACCTGTTGGCTTTGCGTTGTTATGCTCCTAATTGGAAACTAATTAATTAATTACCCTCGCCTCGCCGACTCGTCCTGTCCTGCATTTTGACCCTCGCGATCACCAGTCCCTTTTGAAGTACTTTCAGACCTGACACAAAATTCCACGTTGTCACCACCATAAATTATAGCATTTTAACTGCCTGTTACGTTTTTTCTCTGCTGTGTTTCACCTGGACTCTTGACTTTCCTCCTCGCGAGGTCGCTTTTTAAAGTACTGGCTGATTTTGCCTGTCATAACTGCAACGCTAAAAATGGAGGAAACTTTTTTTTTTAAATAAACACGTCATGCTTGGATGTAAAAAAGACAAGCAGTATTTACCTGTAACTTACGCAGAACGCCAAACCTGCTCCGGGGCAGGTTATGTTTCAGGATAAGATCTCAGCGGGTAAAAATGGCATGCCTACTTTTGCCAGATTCCGTGGGCATCAGTGCACAGATAGTGAGAGGAGCGATTTGCCAAGAGCGTTACATTTGTGATGGTTCAAATCATAGACTGTATATACTATGGACAACTTGGTTCCGCCCTGTCTATAGATTTAAAGGCAAAAAGCTCTCAGTATTTCCAGGATTTTTCTCCATTTCCTGAACCAGAGGCTACAGTAGCATTGTGCGCATTCGGCGGGAGCATCACCGAGAGTCGCTGTGATGACGCTCAGCTCAAACAGGGTATCCCCTGGGTGAGCTATGCACTATGCAGAGGCGGGATTTATGACCTATGCTGCAGCCCGTCAACAGAGGGTGCTGTTCTCAGAGTGGCTTCACCCAGCAAGGAGGCAGATGCTGTCCATTCTATATACAGTCTATGGTTCAAATCCATTTGATTTACCTGATGACGGTCTCTATGAACGTTACAGGTTTTCCTCGGACGGCCTCAATATTCAGGCACCCTGAAGTCGAAGCAATTCACTAATATTTGCCAAGCTCCAAGTTTCAGTTTCATGCGGCATATCAGTCATCATTTGGAATTTATTGAAGTAGATTAGAAAACTCCTGTTAACCCCAAATGTGTCTGCAGATAACGTGACCATCAGATGATGGAAAAAAAAGAAAAAAGCTCCTCACCAAGGCAGTATGAGGTGTTCATTGGACTTGAACTGCTCTAATTTCAATAAAAAACTGGAAAAATTGGGGTGTTCTAAAACTTTTGACCGGTAGTGTATATTGTTATATATAATAACAACATGTCATTTGCTACAACTCAGATGAATTGGCTTCAACATTATCAACACATAGCTGCAATTGCAGCATCTTATATCTTTTTGGTTTTAGTGGACCAACTGCCAGCTGTGTTGTGAAATCAGACCAAATCAACACTGAAGAAAAATACAGCAGTGATCCAACAAGTTTAAGCTATTCTGTAAGTCAATGACACCCCTAATGAAATTTAAAATCATGTGACTAGTGCAAACAATATTCTGACTTAAAAAGCTTTAATATTGAGAAGATAGATGATAGAGAAACTCGACTCTCCCTAAGGTTTTATGGGATACAAAAGGCTACAATTATTTGTGTTACAAAGATGAAGAGATGCTGCAGTAATCACACGGCTTGTGAGTAAGTGTCAGGTAGTTGGTTTCATAAAAACGTTGCTATCTGGCAAAACCTGATGACCAATAAATCTGAATCTGAAAGGACCTTTTTCCAATGTCACCACAAGAGGTTCTCTGATCTCCTTGGACCCTAGACTGCTAAGACCTTTTGCCCCTGTTTGGTGGTATATGTGGATGGGGCCAGTTCCTGGATTGGAAGTAGCCTCTCAGTCCTTCGAGGTCAACTGGAGGGAAGTAAGCACCAATGCGCTTTCTCAGCCACCACTTTCCTTGTACTGCACTTGTGCTGCCTGGCTGGCTGAACTTGTACCTGTAATGTTCTCCACGAACCCACCTGAGGACAAAGGACAGAAGATTCTAATTACAAGTACCTAGTGTCTAAAAGCCTAAACCCGGCAGGCTTGACGCACTTCCCTCCTCTCTGTCATGGTCTTGGAACTGTTCATATAAGTTAAACTTTTATTCATCCCACGGCCGGAAAATCTGCAGTGTTACAGCAGCAAAGAATCAGCACAGCAAACATAGAAGAACAAGTACACTCATCATGCACACAGTGCACATTGATCACTTTGTATTAATAATCGCTCTAATCTTTGCTAACTGTTTGCTGTCTTTCTTTACCTGGGAGGTTCTCTGTCTTGGAAAGGGTTGTGGCCAAGCATGGAGAGGATTGTGCTGTCATTGGACAGCAGACGTCCTGCTATGTGGATAACCCATTCATTCTGTTCATAGGTCTGTGTAGAAACATTAAGAAATAAATGTGGAGGGTTAACAGAGGCAGAGAGAAACAAGCATGGAAAAAAAAGAATGTTATGAGAGGAGGGCTCGGCACAAGTCTCCCTGGCAGACAAACAGTAACTGACAGCCTGTTGGAAGTGTACTACAAATGGCAGAACTAACTTGGTGGGAGTGCTACCAGTTCACAGTTAACTGTCCATAACTACATTCATATTTGGAGCTGGATAAGAAGAGTGAGTTTAAGGAGCTAATTTTGTCAAGGAAGAGATAAGTCTATGTTGAAGTGGAAAAACTAAGTGCAAGCAATAAAAGTATTGCTTGCACAACTCTGACTCCCCTTCAATGACATCAGTGTAGATTTTAGATTTGAATGGCTCAGGCATAGCCTTGATAATTTTAACAGTTCTATAATTCTAAACTCTATGTGATAATCACTAGTGTTGGTGTTGTTTTACATGCAGAGGAGAGATATTAGTTGATACATCTACTGTTATGAAATGTGTCTAAAATTCAAAAGAATTTCAGAAAACATTTCCCACTGTGGCCAAACACTTGCTCAAGGTAATAAAGATGTTTGGTCTGAGACAGGGGATGCGCCCTGTGCTATCCCTGATGATGCAGCACAATCCAAATAAAATTGACTCAGCCACTGTTGTTTATAATTTCACCTGAAACGCAGCAAACCACATGAGCCAGTCCAGTCGGTAGTGGTATGGAGATATGAGGCATGGTCGTCTGTAAACATCCCCTGGTTTACACAGAAAATGGTACTCTTCCCAAAGTGCCTCAGGGTCCTTTGGATCAAGGCTCTGAGTGCCTTGGAAAATCACCTCGGTACGCTCTTTGGTTATGCTAAAAACATTCATTCAGGCACAGTTGAAACAAACAGAAATGGAATATATACCTCCAAAAGATAATGCATAGCTGAAGAAAACTGACTTACTAATGCAGACATGTACAACACCAACTCCAGTGAAGCAGTGCCAAACTCTTGCAGTGCAATAAGTGTTGTTTAACACAGCACTTATTGAAGGCCACCTTCGGTTGTCAATGTCTGGTGTTGCTGTCCTCAGCCATCTTGTGGACAACTTCACAAATTTTGCAATACACCTCACCCATGGCGCATTTAAAGGTGTGGAGAGGAGCTGATGTGATTGGTAAAAAATTTGACTTGGCTGCTGTAAATCCACTCCATACCTTCTCCCTTCCCTCTTTTCTACTTGTGCTGCTGGGAGGGGCTGAGATAGACGAGGGTGTAGTTATGCAGGGCTGTGTGGCTCACCAATTTAGCAAAGTGTGCTTTTACATGCCCCATTGGTTCGACAGACATGACTTGCTCTGTGCCTGCGCCATGCCAACGGCGGAGCACAAATTTAGAGCCCTTAGTGTTCTAATTGATAAACTTGATGGGGTTTTTTTCCTTCTTTTTTTTTCTTGTAAATGTTCACTCATTTTGAATAAATTGTTTAATACACATTGTACACAATTACCCCACTTGACTGGAAATGGGGTTGTACATATACAAAATGTGACCTGCAAAAGCTCTAATCAGCACATGTATTTAATCAATAGGCATAGAAAATGATGTAAAGGTGGCAGAAAAGTGTATAATTCTACTAATTCATGTGTTCACATTCTGGACTTAACTCTGTAATTCAAATTCAAAATGTCTAACAGTTCTGAATGCGCTTTACCTTCCAAAGGCACCATATGTGTTTACGATGCGCAGTGGGTCAAAAGAGGTGTTCATCACCTGCCTGGAACTCAACAGGTTCATTACCACAGGAACGCTCAGAAATCCAATCAAAACACCCAATGAAATGTTCACAACTTGACGTATCAGCATACCTGGATTACAACATAAACACAATAAAGCGAAATCAATCAGTAACTGAATCAATAAGTCAGACAGCATGAAAATCAGCACAGCAAAAGAAAAACACTTCTTAGTCTTTATTAGTCTTTAAGAAGACTGAATACAGTTTCTTCCTCTTTCTTGTTTGACCACTATTAATCTTTTCAAGTGGGTGGCTTGTGCATTTCATAACTTTATTTCAGGATTCCTGCATGTAACTAAATGGTTTACAGGATGATACTTCTAGCACCCAAAAGAAAGGCAATACATTCTTTTTTCAAGTCCGTGAGGACATTTATCATTTGGAAGTATCAAACGTTTATTTGGGAGTGTGTTTCTGAAGAGCTATTACTATTGGCTCAGTTATGTATTTTTATCTATAGATATGTGAGACAATTGCGTCACTTCCCCAGAGGGAAAGAGGACTGGTTTCATCAACAAAACAGTGTGTTGAAAAATGTTTGATCAGGCAACAATTGTGCCATTTTCATAGATACTGTATATACTGTTTTATATATATACAGTCGTGGTCAGAAGTTTACATACAGTGCATGTTCCTACACTAAATCTCATGCTAAATTCAAGTTACCAACTTGAATCATAAATAATCTAGCATCCAGGAAGCCCTAGGATTAATGCTTTTGGGAAATAAAAAGAAAAGGCAAAAATTCCTCATAATTCAAGATTTATTGATATTTCTTTGCAGAACACTGCTTTTTTATTGGGTCATAAGTTTACATACACCTTTGTCTTCAGGGCTTAGTACTTGGTAGCATTTCCATTAAGTTTTATAACTTCAGCAAGTCGCTTTGGATAGCCATCAATGAGCTTCTCACAGTAATCCTGGGGAATTTTTGACCACTCTTCCTGGCAGATTTGGTACAACTCAGTCAGATTTGTTGGTCTTCTCTCACGGACTCGTTTCTTCAGTTCACTCCAGATATTCTCGATAGGATTGAGATCAGGGCTTTGTGAAGGCCACTCCAGTACTTTCACCTTGTTCTGCTGAAACCATTTTGAAACTAATTTTGCAGTATGTTTCGGATCATTATCTTGTTGAAAGATCCAATTTCGACCAAGCTGCAGAGATTTGGCTGACTTCTTGAGGTGTCCTTGCAATATTTCCAAGTATTGCTCTTTTCTCATGATTCCATTGATCTTCTGGAGTTCACCAGTTCCTGATGCTGCAAAGCAACCCCACAACATGAGACTTCCTCCACTATGCTTGACCGTTGGGATGGTATTGTTGGGATTGAAGGCTTCACCCTTTCGCCGGAAAACGTATTGCTGGTCATTATGCCCAAACAGTTCAATTTTCGTCTCATCTGACCAGATGACACTCTTCCAGAAGGCTTTATCCTTACCCTGGTGCTCTTTCGCAAACTTCAGCCGAGCTTTTCTGTGTCTCTCGTTGAGTAATGGCTTCTTTCTGGCCCGGTACCCTCTCAGCCCATGTCGATGGAGAACTCTCTTGACCGTGGACACTGAGACATTTGCTCCTGAGGCAGCCAATTCATTGCAGATGGCTTTCTTGGTGATCTTGGGGTTAATTTTCACCTTTCTGACCAAAAGCTTTTCATCTCTGGATGTTAATTTCCGTTTCCTTCCAGACCGTGGCATTACGGCTGTTCTTCCAAGGTGCTTGTATTTGTGGACAATTGTCTGAACAGATGCCCTTGGTACATCAAGCTGCCTTGAAATGGTCCCAAGAGATGAGCCTGACCTATGCAAGGCAACAATTCGCTCCCTGATGTCATTGCTGTATTCTTTTGACTTTCCCATTGCAAGTCTCAAGTCGAAATGCAGAGTGTGTAAAGTGAAGCTCCTTTTATACCCCATAATTTCTACACCTTGGTTTTAACACAACATGAATGAACACCAGACTAAAGGGATGATTCCATTAATTCCATTTCACAACCTGATTTCAACTAATTTGCTCTTAAATAGGCCAGACAAGTGGGTGTATGTAAACTTATGAACCACAAGAATCTGAGGTCATCTGGGGAAATCAACTAAAAATCTATCTTAGGTAAAAAATTCTGACCTGCCCCATTGGCAGAATAATGAAGATACTATTATTGAATAACCACATATATGTCTTCATTCAAATTGGGTGGGAAGTTGGGTTAAAGCTGTCTTGAATAGTTTTTGCTCTAGTGTATGTAAACTTCTGACCTCGACTGTATGTACACATATATATTTACATATATATACATAAACATATACATATATACACTCACCGGCCACTTTATTAGGTACACCTGTCCAACTGCTCGTTAACACTTAATTTCTAATCAGCCAATCACATGGCGGCAACTTAGTGCATTTAGGCATGTAGACATGGTCAAGACAATCTCCTGCAGTTCAAACCGAGCATCAGTAAGGGGAAGAAAGGTGATTTGAGTGACTTTGAACGTGGCATGGTTGTTGGTGCCAGAAGGGCTGGTCTGAGTATTTCAGAAACTGCTGATCTACTGGGATTTTCACGCACAACCATCTCTAGGGTTTACAGAGAATGGTCCGAAAAAGAAAAAATATCCAGTGAGCGGCAGTTCTGTGGGCGGAAATGCCTTGTTGATGCCAGAGGTCAGAGGAGAATTAGAAAGTGTTAACGAGCAGTTGGACAGGTGTACCTAATAAAGTGGCCGGTGAGTGTATATATATACACACACACACATATACACAAAAACACATATATATACATATACAAACACACATATATATATACACACACACACACACACATATATATATATATACACACACACACACACACACATATATATATACACACACACACACACACACACACACACACACACACACACACACACACACACACACACACATATATACACACACACACACACACATATATATACACACACACACACACACACACACATATATATATATACACACACACACACACACACATATATATATACACACACACACACACACACACACATATATATATACACACACACACACACACACATATATATATATACACACACACACACACATATATATACACACACACACACACACACACACATATATACACACACACACACACACACACACATATATACACACACACACACACACACACATATATACACACACACACACACACACACACATATATATACACACACACACACACACACACATATACACACACACACACACACACATATATACACACACACACACACACACACATATATACACACACACACACACACATATATATATATATATACACACACATATAAATATATATATATATACACACACACACACACATATATATATACATACACACACACACACATATATATATACATACACACACACACACACATATTTATATATATATACATACACACCCACACACATATATATATATATATATATATATATATATATATATATATATATATATGGGTCAATGACGTGACGCCTCAATATTCTGTCCGGCTGTATTTTCTTTATGTTACAAAGAGTTTTAAATGTAAAAAAATATACTATCTATGTGTAGTATCTCTCTAATATATGGAGCCACTTCAACTTTTCAAAAATCAAGAGTTTTTGGTAATTTTTCTGAACTTCAAAGGGTCAAAATATCATGTGGTGCAACCGTCCGGCCATGACTTCTGTTTTGAAAACTTCTTTGAAATTACTCTAAATCTATTACAATTTAGTTTCTGCAATATTCGGCATAATTTTGAAAGTGTTTTTTATTCCTGTACAAAATTGCAAAGCTTTTGCAGTTATATTATTTTCATAATATTCAAACGAATTTTGTCCGATCGTGTCCATTTCATTAAATATCATGTGGTGTGACCATCAAAAAATGACCATTTTTGACACTTTTATGCTAAAATTTACTCAAGGACAGGATGTTGGATCATTCACCATTTTGTCGTAGAGCTATGGAAGCAGAAAGAGGGTTGGTGGCTCTCTCATTTCTTTAAAAAAAAAAGACCTTTTCAACTGCTGTAATGGTGTTTGCACTTTTCGATGTCGTGGTATGACCTAAAAAAAAAAAAAAATTAAGTTATTTCCACAAATAAGTATTTTAATTATAAATTTCATAATGACCTTTTGTGGGTCTCTAGTGAGGTTTGTTTATGTCACTAATCCTGTATCAGTAAGATTTGACTGAATTTGAAATGTCATGCAGTGCGACCAATTATCATGTGGTGCGACCACTGCAGATTGTTTTCCATCATAAATATATGCCCTAGGTTGGCAGTATTTACGCTTTTTATATTCAATTGATGATTGATAAACACCAAGTACTTAATTTTTAGTATTATTTTGAAATTTTTTTTTAATTTGATGAGTCATTTTGCTAACATTTCTGAAATAATGGTTAGGTCATCTCTGTACAAAATAAGAAAAAAAAATATTAAAAGCATGCCATTTCACTTAAGGTATTTATGCTGTTGTTAGCAATTTATTAACTTTCATGTATCAATTTAAGTCATTTTAATTATTTTACCAGTTGCCACTGCGGAGCAAAGTTAAAAGCGCTTGCTATAGGCAGTGTGTCAACTCTGACCCTGCAGCATGTTGTTCATGCCAGGGCTGGTCAAAGATTGGGCCAAGATTGTTGACATCGCTGCGCAGATGGTGAGAGGAGCGCTTCGCCGAGGGCGTTATATTCATGATCGTTCAAATCCGTTTGATTTATCTGATGATGTTCTCTATGAACGTTACAGGTTTTCCTAGGACGGTCTCAATAGTCAGGTAACATGAAGTCGAAGCAATACACTAATATTTTCCAAGTTCAAGTTTCATGCGGCATATCAATCATCATTCAGAATTTATGGAAGCAGATTAGAAAACTCCTCTTAACCCCAAATGTGTCTGCAGATGACATGTGACCATCAGATGATGAAGAAAGAAAAAAAGGCAGTGTGAGGAAATCGCTGTTTACGCGTAGAAATATGTACAAATAAAATCTTCCAGTAAACCAGCTAACCACTTTGACGGATGTTTTTAGATTTATTTTTATTTGCTCCCACATACTCTTTTCCCCACTGCTGTTGTATCTGAAATAATGAGGTCAATGATGGAGGTTATCACACACGCTGCATGACAACATATTAGGGGGCCATAAATTTATGAACGCACAAATGAAATTTACATGATCAATGATTTTTTTTGCCAGCAGTCTCTCCGGCTTTTAGCGGCTGCAGCTGTCCTGCTCCTCACTGATATAATGTTGCGGTACTCCTCGTATTAGCGTAAATAATGCTCTGTTCCTCGGCTGTGATATATGACCTGCAGCCTTCTCCATTGTGGAGATTGGTCCGGTGGCACTGACCCCACCCCCTTTACGTGTGCGCGCACAGATCTAGACTGACCACAACTGAATTTAGTTAGCGAGTTGATATCCTGCCTCGTAGTACAGCTGATCGGGATTACGGAGATCTGGTGAAGTTGAGCGAGTTGTGGCAGAGTTATCCTGGGTGTTTTAATCCAGCTTCAAAGTGCAGGTCTCTGGACCACATACACAAACACACACAGAGTTAAATTTTTGTAAAAAAGGGAAATAAAATGTTCGTGTTCATGTTTGAAATGTTAATAAAATTTGGTTTTAATATAAAATTTGCATGAAATTAATTGTTCATTGGTCTCTTTAAATAGATTTTTAATGATACAAGGTCTTCAGGTCATTTGGCGTGACCACCAATTGCGACCAATAATAACATTAATTATATCAAATACAAACTAAAATATCTCATTTCTGTAACTGAGACATTAAAACCTGATACAATATGCTTACATGAAAGGTAGTTTCAAAACATTTTTATCAGTATTATGCAGTTTAAAGAAAAAAATAGTCAGTGAACTACATTTGATATAGCGTCTGTGACATTATAGAGCTAATATATGAGATAATTATTTACAAAAACTCAAATAAAATGCAAACACTCTGTTCCTATGTACTTGATTTTACCGACAATTTGTAAAAAACTATGGAGTATGTTGAAAAAATGTAATAATTTTGAGATAAATGATGGTCGCACCACATGACATTTTTTAAGGCCACAGGCAATTCATCTGTATAAAAAAACACTAAAATTGCCTAATTTAAAAATTAAACTTTAGTTTTTGAATACAAAACATCCTTAGTGTTTGAACTGTTGACACATTTTGGTATTTTAAAATTGGCATGTTGAAAAACCTTATACGTCATTGACCCATATATATATATGTACATATACATATATATATGTATATATATATGTACATATACATATATATATATATATACATATATATGTATATATATATATATATATATGTACATATACATATATATGTATATACATATATATGTATATATATATGTACATATACATATATATATATATACACATATATATATACATACATACATATATATATGTAACACTGACTAGGATGCAGGCGATCGGGGTTCCAATCCCAGTCGGGACAATAGGTGGAAAATCAAGGTGGACCTTCACGTGTGTGAAGTGAGGGCCACTGGTTTGTAGTGATTGAGTTCAGCAGGACATTTTGTTTTTTGTTCTTGCACAATCCAGGATGTTTTCCACAGAGCAGGTACCTGCCCCAGCTGTAGACTTAGGTTGAAGATCCTGTGGAGAGGTTGACACAGTTCTGCAGCACAGTTTCTAAGCAGCCTTGGACACACACCATCTGAATCAGCTGCCTTCCACGGCAAAGTCTTCCAAGCTCCATCCTAACACCTGTTTCTGTAATAGACAAGGACTGCTGTACTAGGAGGGAGGCAGTTGAAGTGGTTGAGACATTTGAATGAGATAGATGAGGAAGGGAAGAAGTTGTAGTAGAGATTTGTTGTGGAGAGGAAAGTGGAGTACAGTGGAAGTGGGTGTGACAACAGTGTCAAATCTGTTGAAGAACAGGTTGAGTTCATCAGCTCTTTCCACATCACCAACCACTGGCTGTCTTTTTTTTTTATTGCTGTGTCCACGGATGGTACTGATTCCTCTCCACACTTCAGCTTTGCCATCCTCAGTCTCCTCTTCAACTCTTTTTGCACTTGTTTGAGTCGTTCTTAGTCGCCATCTTCAAAAGCTCTCTTTTTCTGGTTAAGGATTGCTTGTGATCCAGGGTTTGTAGTTGGGGAAACAGCAAACAGTCTTTATCGGTATAACTGTGTCTCTACAGAAGTTGATATATTCAGTAAAGCAGTCAACCCGTTTGTCAATGTTCATACTGTCTTCCACTGTTTCCAGCAGCACATTCCAGTCTGTTCATTTAAAACAGTCCTTTAGAGCTTCACTGGCTTGAGGTGTCCATCTTCTGATTTTGACTTTGGTCACAGGCTGCCTCAGTACACAAGGTCTGTAACAGGTTCGCAGATAGACCAAGTTATGATCTGACTTGCCCAGTGGTGGTAAGGCAGTGGCTCTGTAGGCTTCTTTGACTTTGGCATACAGCAGATCCTGGGTTTTGTTTTTCTCTGGTAGGAAAGTTCACAAACTGTGTAAATTCAGTCAGGTGAGAAGAGAGGGTGACATGGTTGAGGTCTCCTGATATTATTATTAGTGCCCCAGGGTGTTGAGTCTGTAGCCTGGCAACACTATTATGGCAAAGATTGGCAAAGAGTGCCAAGAATGAAAAACTGGACAGCAACAGGGCCTGACATGGCTCACACCTACTGGCTGAAGAAGCTAGATGCCCTTCATGCCCATCAACTGTTAATATCTGTTAATATCGGGGACCCAGCCAGAGAGGCTTACCCAAAGCCAGACAGTCCTCATCATGAACAACCCTCAGAGGGGAATGACATCATCAAATAGCTATAACCTGCCTCAGCACCACATGGAAGCTCCTCTCAGGCATCATAGCAGCTAAGATGGTTGGGCACATGAATAAATACATGATTCAGTACATGACTCCCTGGATCGTAGGTCCAGGAAGACCAACCTGTGCTACAACTGTCCTACAGGCAAATGGCGGTATGGAGGGCAGCAACAGCCACATACAGAGAGGGTGAGACAGGTCCTGAAGAGTTAGCGGAATGGAAAGAGTAAGATCCAGGCCATTAATACCTATGCCCTGCCAGTAATCAGTTACCCCACTTTTATAATTCCAGCATCCTGAGACTGTACACAAAGCAAAAAGTGATGACCTGCTAAGTGAATGCCTCAGGCAACAAAAGACCAGTAAGGAGGAGGAAGAGCCAGAGAGGGTATCATGGGAAGACAATCATCTAATTGAAGAAGTGGCTGAGATTGGGAGAACATACCCATGGCTGGAGAAGGCTGGACTGAAAGACAGCACAGAGGCCCTAATCATGGCTGCACAAGAACAGGCCCTCAACACGAGGACAGTACAGCACATCGCAGTAGGGTGTAAGATGCTGGCAGTCAAGGCATTCATGGAATGGCACAACCAGGTAGCTGGTATAGTGTTACGGAAACATCTATGCCGAATATGGACTGGACGTCTCAGGGTCAAGATGAAAGATGCCTTTCAAGGTGGTGGAGAACAAGAGAGCCAAAGTCCTGTGAGATTTCCAGATCCAAACTGACACTGAGAGTTAACCAGCCTGAAATTGTGCTGGTTGATAAGTATCAGAAGTGAGTGGTAGTGATAGATGTAGTGATACCGAGCAATATTGACATCAGTGAGAAGGAAGAATATTTAGTCATGGGAAAACAGTAGTCACCAGGTTTAAACACATAATTGTGTCTAGTTCCATTCAAAAAAAAAAAAAATCTGTATATTTATCTTGTCACTGCCCATGAAACTGTGTTGCCGAATGATAGAGAAAATACTTTTTATAGAAAAACTGCCCCCTATACTAATTACCCTTAAAGGCATATTCCAGCTAGAAATTAAGTAAGGGTAAAACACACTGTAACACCAAGTTAGACACCCCCTCAAGAGATGAATGTTGCTGACTGCTTGCTTCTCTAGTTATACCAACCAATTCATGTGCAATATTATTTGTCACATGACAGGAAGTAAGGTCTCTCTTAAGGAGGCAGCCCCCCACCAGTTCCACTTGAAAACTAAGGCTTCATTTGGCATTATATTTCCCGACCTGACTGATTGTAGAACTCCTGCTATTGAGCATTTCATGACCTAAGACCATCTCTTTTCTTTGGCCTTCCCGTGGAGATGAAGATTTTGTTACTTTGAACTTCATAAAACACTTTGGCCAACAGTGGTTGTTTTTAAATATGCTATAAAAAGATAAATTGATTTAGACTTTGATACCTTTAGTGGGTTTTGGTGTGCCTTTTCCTTTATTCTCATTCTGAATTTCGAAGACTGCTGTCCTAGCTTGACTTCCAGAGTGAAACATAAAGCCCAGTGAGGTGTCGTCAAAACATGCCAGACTTGGAACAATGGTGAGCCAGTTTAGGAAACTGAGGTTCCCACTCACTATCAGAACAACCTAGTGCACGGGAGACAGTCAGAAAACAAAGACTCACAGTCAGTATAGACACCTTTATCAACTTTTGTATTGATGAGGTAATCAGAGGAATTTCAATGAAATTTTGTTAAGATGTTTAAACATAACTGACAAAAACAAGCTCTAAAATTCCACAATGCTCACACTGAATGCAAGTGTACAGTGGTAGATTATGCAATGTAATAGATAAATGCAATAAAACCATGAAAGCTGTTGAAAACTTTGAACTTTCTATCAAAGTAAACTACACTAAAAACAGTAATAAGGTGATGCTGCTTCTTTTTTTAACTTAAGAACCTTTGCAAATTTGAAATAATCATGATTTTAAATAAAATGCAGGATTAGGTGTTTCTCGAGGGTTGAGGAAAATTAAAATTTTTATCAAAATAAAAATAAAAAACCTTGAGTTATTGGGCACTGTGTTAAAATGCAATGCACAGTACAATTGTGGAATTACTGATTTTCACTGTCACATATTACAGTTTGTAGCTGCATGATAAATATCAGAAAAAGGTAAATAGATAAATTAGACAAACAAAGAGATGCCTTTAGCTACATGCATTATACCACTTTATATTGACTGATCTTATTTAGGGCTGAGCTGTCTACCCTTATTTTTCCTCAGTACTTCAGGTGGATACCAGGTTTCTTGACCAGTTTTTGACAGTATCTGATGTCTCCACATTCAAGGACTGTCATTTTGCTTCTTATGAGTAAAATGCTGGATTTAAGTCTGAATATGTGGAAATACCAGAGATTGGAATTGTGGAGTCACCAAGTCATCTCCATGCCATGTATTTATTCTGCTCTGTCACTGAACCAGCTGCTTCCAATGAGCAGCCAGGAAGGTGAGCTCATTAGTGAAGGCACCTGGTTCAGTAACTGAGCAGAACAAATACATAGCATGGAGATGACTTGGTGACTCCACAATTCCTATCTCTGAGAAATACTATGGATCCTTGCAAGGTCTACTGGACTGGTAATCAAGTGTGAGTTGGTGTGCAGGGTAGGTCACCTGGAAAAGAATCTGGACTGCACCATTGACCATGCACATCCTTCTTCCAAATAAAGTGAAGAATGGAAAAACAAGCTCGATGAGGTGGTTGGACATCGTCTCAAAGCGATGAAACCACCAAGGGAAGTGGTGCATGTAGTATGACATTGGGTTAGGTACTGGTTGGGTCTGAGTAAAGATGGGAGAACATAAAATATAAATGTACAGTCATGACAAGAAAGGCATCTTATTGTGCCTCTTCTTGAAGATTCAGAAATCAGGCAACTGGACTGTGTAGAGTTGAGAAGACGTTTTGCCTCTTATACAAGAGTAGGCCTGTCACGATAACAAATTTTGCTGGACGATAATTGTGCTACAAATTATTGCCGATAAACAATATTATTGACACCGTTTTTTAAATTATATAGATAATGATAATATATGGCATAATAATGCGAGTACACCATGTCAAAAGCAATAAACTTTAATTGCTCAAGATTAAGAACTTTGAACCAGGATGAACAAATATAATAAACAAACAAGACAACCAAAAAACAATGAAAATAAAATGGACCCACATTCTGTTTTATCAAAAACTGCATTCAAATAAAAACCACAATCACAACTACAAACAATAAAAAAATAGACCTCGTCTCTGGTACGGAACAAAAACGTCACTCCACACATAACTATTAATAATAATAATAAACAATAACAATGCATCAGATTTCATATAGCGCTTTATCAGAGACCCTCAAAGCGCTTTACAATGGATACATCATTCATTCACTCACACAGTCACACTTTGGTGGTGGTAAACTACCTTAGTAGTCACAGCTGCCCTGGGGCAGACTGACGGAAACGTGGCTGCCATTCTGCGCCTACGGCCTCTCCGACCACCACCACACAACACTCACAATCATACACCAGTGGAGGACACACACTGGGAGCAAGGTGGGTTAAGTGTCTTGCCCAAGGACACAACGGACAGACTTGGATTAGGGGGGAATCGAACCGCCAACCTTCCGGTTATTGGACGACCGCTCTACCTCCTGAGCTACTGCTGCCCCAAATTAAAAACAATAAATAAAGTGGAGTCTCGAGTCTGTAAACAAAATTGCACTAAATAATTAGCTTTCGTTGCTATTCCTCAACAGGTCAACAAAGAACATGCATGCGCACCTCAACATGCATGTGCTTGAGGTGCACATGCATGTTCGTCGTATTCCCCTTCTTTGTCACCAAAACTTTCGAACAAATGCGACATATCGTCTGTGTTCGTGGGCTCACCTCTTTCATTGTATTTGAAACCGAAATGTTCCCACACTGGGGCTGTTGCGTTGGGATTAGAGAGCAAAGCTGTTGTTTCATCATTCAAACCATTTGCTCCGCACTGTGTCAGTAAGTCTGTGTGTGTGTGTGTCTGTGTGCGTGTGTGCGCCAGCTTTCGTTGTGGGAATGTTCTCAGCCCGGTGGTTGAGTGTTCTGATTTCTGAGTGTCCTGTACACTTCAACGTTGAGACACCCATCTGCCTCCAAATGTACAGCACAGTCCTAAAAGGCTGTGCTTGTAGAATCTACATGGACATCTTATTGTGCCACACCTTGGGCGAATCGATTTCCTTTTTCATTCCAGCTTGGACAGTTATGAAGGTATGAAGGTATGAAGGCAGGCACACCTAAACCTAAAACACCCATGAAAATCCCAAGGATAGAAGCCTGTTACCTCACTTATCCAAATAACCCACCTTGCTCCTGTAAACCAGCTGCATTATACCAAACAAACACTACAGTGCCAACATTCACATACTCAGCATCCTGAGAGTCAGCAGGGGAAAGAAGCTCATAGCTTCTCCAAAGAATTAAATTAGATACCAGGAGCTTCTGATGCTGTATGTGTATGTGTGTGTGTGTGTGTGTGTGTGTGTGTGTGTGTGTGTGTGTGTGTGTGTGTGTGTGTGTGTGTGTGTGTGTGTTTTTGTGTGTGTTTTTGTGTGCAAAATGATCTTCAAGACTATAGGCTAATTACACCAAAGCACATCTTTGACCCAGCATGCAGCGAGTTCATGATATGTAACTCTGAACTCTGTTTAATCATTCCTTAAAACTCTTGTCTAGCTGCTTTTAAACAAATCTAGTTCTATGAAACTCCACATGTGTATGAATTTCTGCCTGTTCTCAGTCTAACATACACACAAATCAATGACGAAACACTTCTGCCCAGTTAAACGTCAGGTAAAGAAGAACAAATTTAAGATTCAATTGACAGTTGTTGTGAAATACTTAAAATGAAAGCATTAACTGTGCCCACTGTAATTGGGCTGACCCTGGTGAGCAAGCCTGGTGTGAATTAATTACAATCTTGCCATTGTTTGAGAACTTTAACTCCTTCCCTGCCTCACTTCTTGAGTTTAAACCTTTTGTTTTGGTTTAGAAGTTGTGGATAAGAGGTAGAACCTGTTGTCTTTCACATTTTCTTTTTAAATTTTGATGGGGAAACTAGGGACGTCATCAGTGTACAAATGTGAGTGTCTGAAAGGGTAAATGTGAAAGTCTAAACACTGCTAGTGGTTTGTTAACTTGAAAATGCTGTATAAACAATAATGGTTATATAACAAAGCTCTCATAAGGGAATGCAAAATATGTACATACCTCATAATGATAGTCCATGCATGTTAGGTCTCTCCAGCATTTGTCCCCTCTGATTTTAATGAGACCCTGAAGCAAATAAGAAGCATCATGTCATGCAAGCATTTTGGAATTCAGGCACTGTTAAATCCAGCAAAACAAGCAAAAAATCAAGTGTAGGGGTAACAGTCACTCACAAAAGTAATTTATCCTGTAATTGTCTTGTCTACTTTATAGGCAACACAAAAGCATCAGCATTAAATAGCTTTTGTTAGCTTCTATTGAAGTTTGTTTACTTTACTTAAATCACCATATTAACTATACATTTCAATAAGGGCCAGAGCTGGACACAGAGGCTGGACCATAGACTGTGTATAGAATGGATGTCATCCGCCTCCTTGCTAGTTGAGGCCTCTGCGAGAACAGTACCCTCTGGCTACGGTATAGGTCATAAATCCCGCCTCCTCCAGCCATCTTAATGGAGTTGTGGACAAACTTAAAAATTTAATTACACAGAATATAAAATTTTCTCCCCCTTGGTTGCGATGTTGACATGTAGTTATTGTAAAACTGGTTTGTGCTCAAATCCAAGTTATAAGAGGTTCATGTTTTCTATGATTGACAATTGATACAGCCTATGGGTGTATGAATATTATGTAGCTCATCCTGGGGATACATAGGCTGTGTCTCAATTCAGAGACTACACCGTCAAACGGCAAATTTCAAGTTTGCGTGGTGTCATCACGCGGCGCTAACGGTGTCCCATATGGCTCATGATTCTGAGTGTGCTTCAAATGCGGTCCCACAACCACCCTGCCCCCGCCCCTTTTTCAAGTGTGCATTTATCCATATTTTCGTGGCCTTGGTATCCCAGACTTCTTTGCGTGCCACTGCACAGCTGCGCATTTCGGGTGAGAGGCCGGACTCGCTTGGAGACGCAGCGCGTCTTCTAGAGAATAAAAGAAATCCAAAAACACATACAGTCAGCTCAGGCTTCATGAGCGCATGATCTCTGAACTCACTCAAATCTGCAAACCAAATATTATACTCTTTAGTGACGAACTGATCCAGTCTGCTACCACAATCAAAAACATTAAAAATAAGAAAGCTGCGAAAACTACATCGGAGTAACAGGGCCACATCGAGATGTTTTTTAAAGACTTAGAAATTAAAGTTGTAAACTTAGAAGAATAAAGTCATAAAGTTAATAAAGTCATAAAGCTGCTTTTGTGGAGGGGGAAATGTCTGGAGGTGGTCAACTGCAGAGTTATCGTTGAATTCATCCACAGGCCATTCAGAGAGTTTTTGTGGTTTTTCAAAAAACAAACAAATTGATGATCAACATTTGTGATCCAGAGGGGAGACCAATTTTTTTCATATATTCTTTTTAAAGTCCTCATACTAATGACAATGTAATGCTGATGTGCCAAAGGATGAAGAATCTCCTTGTTTGTGAAACCTATACTGAAGCACCGTTTCTTCAAATGCTTCATGGCCCTAATTTTAACAACTCTCGTTTGAAATAACAGGTAACCTTGCGACTTTATTCTGATATATTAACGACTTTAATCTAAAAAATTAATGACTTTATTTTCGTAAATTTATGACTTTAATATTAAAGTCTTTTAAAAAATTCTCAATATGGCCCTCATACTCCTTCATACAAACCATGCAATCATTGGATGAATTTTGTGGAAATGGTCTGTGCTTGTATGTATCTATTGATTTGTGTTTGTGCAAGGTCCCACAATTAAAAAATAACTGCTTTGCTCCGCGGCTTTTCTTCAGGTCAGTTGTGAAGCGAGCCTGAGGGCAGGGACATTTGGCGACTCAACCAGGAAGCCTTCCGAAGTGTAGACTGTCCTAATTCACAAAAACCAGACCAGCTCGCTCAGGGTACTCAAGTCCACATAACAGCAGTGCGATATGCAGTCTCTGAATTGAGACACAGACGTAGTTCAAGCAGAGTGTCATCGTAGCACCTTTCCAGCCAAATATGTACAGCGCTCCAGAAGATTCCAGAAAAATCTGTATATATATATATATATATATATATATATATATATATATATATATATAATAGTTAATATTGGGGGTGTATTTTCATTTGCGATATCAGCACTTGTCATGGGCTGTGTGCTTTGATCACACACACACATGCACACGCATGGGCTCGGCCGCGTGCACGCGGGCACACACACTGTTTCCATGTGTGCATTACTGTCTCTCTGTCAGTTGAAAATACACCCCCAATATTAACTATTTACCTTCAGCTATACTACAATTCTTCCATTCATACAATTTCTTCTTCTTCTACTCCACCTTTTCACCAGTTTTTCCATTCATACCTTCCTCCATTTTTTATTGGCAGTTTTGCATTGCTTTTTCGGCTTTCACCACTCAGTATTTCCACGCATTTTCTGCAAGGAAATGCAATTTTTCTAGTCTTGTATTGAGACACCACCACCACCACCACCACCACAAATTAGTACACCTTGAGATTCTGCTATAATCAATTCAAATGTTTGACTAAGATAACTCAAATCAGAATGGGGGGGGGGCACATATATTCAGCAAAGTTATCAATGAGAAATGATACCTAAAGCCCATTCTTTTTAATTTAGCATGCTCTGTGTCTGAAAGATAGGTTTCTTGCAAAAACACCACCTAAACTTTGTCTCTTTTTAGTTCTGTCAAAATCTTCTTTTCATAGGGTTACCTGGACCATTCACATTATAAGTTGCTGTTTTGATTGCTTGCATTTAGTGTCTAATATTTAAAAGAAATGGGGACCTCCGGGTGAGTCCATCAACTGCAGCAAGGTGACGCAGCTCAAGGAAGAACATTTATGATAATTTCCTCATGGATGCAATCAGACTAAGACGCTAAGGCAGGAGAACTACCACATCTGCAGTGCAAATTGATTATTATGATGATAATTACTTCAAGGAAATGATAAAGTAATGATCATAAATGTTCTTCTTTGAGCTGTGGCCCCCCGCTGCAGTCGATGGATCCACCCGGGGGTCCCCATGCAAGCAAGCGGCTGCTGAAAGAGAGTGGGTGAGTTGTGTTTAATCTCTTAGCTAAAGAAATTATGCAAAGTTAAAACAATTTTTGGTGGCTTGTGTAATGGCTGGGACCTTACATGTAGTGTTGATGAAGTTAGGTGCTGTTCTGAGCATTATTTATGGCTACAGAGTGGCTTTTTGGTTGAGTGTGTGGCTCTCTGTATTGCTATTATGCGGTCGTTACTAAAGTTGGTATAACAAGAGAGGCAAGCATTCGGCAACATTCATCTCTTGATGGGGTGTCTGACTGGGTGTTACAGTGTGTTTGGCCCTAACTTAGTTATACGCCGGAATATCCCTTTAAAGTCATCTCAATGTTTTACTCACAGCTCCCAGCATGATGCGAACAATCAGCCACCTGAAGGTCCAGATGCAGATAAGGGAGGGGGGGCAGTGGCGAGGAACCTGGGACAAAGTCCATACTGGGCATAAGAAAATGGCTAAGAACCCTGTCTCCAGAAGCTGACTCTCCCAACCTGGAAAAATCATCACATTTGCAGCATCAATAGAAATTTGTTAACTATTAAGGATTCCAACTTTGACAATCACTTAATTGCACCAAATCTAATGCCAATATATTTGACAATGAGACTTTTCACCCAAAATGTCAAATTTTAAGCTTGGTATGGCACAGCAAGATATCATGGGCTGAAAAAAGTCATTGAGCTGGATGCCTATGGAGCCAGATCAGGCTCAAAAGTATTGAAAAAGTAGTGTAAGTGAAAAAATAAAAAGTGAAGTGAAAAAATAAGATTTGAACCTGAAAAAAAAAAATGGTACCTGAAAGTCTTGAATTTCGAAATTGAACTTTGAAAAAACACCAGAATGCATGAAAAAAATCTGTTCAAATGTAACTTTGATTCTGTTTTTTAATACTTTTGAATAAATTACTTATTTCTATTTTTCACTTCAATGTATATTTCGATCTTTGAGTACTTTTTTTTTTTTCAATTGAATTTTATTTATTTATTTCAGATTCAGATCTTATTTTTACGGATTCAAAACTTTTTTTTCGGTTTCAGATTTTTTTTTTGCAGATTCAGATCTTTTTTCAGATTCAACTTGAAAAGTTTCAGGTTCACTTTTGAGCCTGTTTTTCCGTGGGGGCAGGGCCTCGACTGAGAGGGGCGCGGTCTGCCATGAGTGACAGGCCTCCCCATCCTTCCCCACCCCATCACTCTGCGTTCAGGAAGTGGCATGGATTAACACATTAGGTTAGCCTACAATTAGGCTGTATTGGCTGAATGAGATCGTGTTGGTTCGTTCCACTTTAGTGGATCGATATAAACTGTGATTCATTAAAAAGCTCTATTGATAGTAAGTACTAAAAAAATATATCTACTCATGTCATCCTGTCGATTTTTAGTAATCAGTGTTTCGGTGTCAAACTATTTCCCTTCTGCGGCGTAGTGATACTTGCACACGCGCAATCGAATATGCAGGGGGTGAAGCGATTTTTGTCACGTCCACCAAAAGGAGACGAGTCTCGTTGCCATAGTATCAGAAATACACAAACATGGCGACGACCGCATCTCGCAGCGAGACAAGCGAAGAGGAAGAAAAGAAAAGGAACAAAAGAAAACAGCCTTCAAAAGTGCATAAAAAGGAGCGAAACGATGCTATATGCATCTATCATCTGTCCAGAGTGAAGACGTTCTCGACTTTACAAGGACACGTCGGGAAACTTACAGAACTAGTATTAGAAAATGGCTTTCTCTACAGGGTGTGACAAAGGACCTTGCAGAAACTTATAAACTTTGCGTTAATATCGACTTTGACAATGTTCCTGATGACGCTGGGTTTCACATAACATGCTACCAGCGATTTATTTGCAAAAGGGGTTTGAGAAACAAGAACGTTATGCAGCCACGGGTCAGTCAAACCCTTAACGCAGCATCGCCGATGCATCCACGTCCATGGCATCTGAAACTCCACGAAAGAAACTTCGCTCGAGGTTTTAGGCTGTATTGGGACAAAGGAAAAAGTGCCTAGAAAGTGAATTTCGTTCAAATACGCTGGTGCTACTTGTTCAATGCATTTTTGCATAGACAATACCATTCATTCATACCATCCGCGGCTGCATCACGTTATTGTTTCTCAAACCCCTTTAGCAAATAAATCGCTGGTAGCATGTTATGTGAAACCCAGCGTCATCAGGAACATTGTCAAAGTCGATATCAACGTAAAGTTTATAAGTTTCTGCAAGGTCCTTTGTCTCACCCTGTAGAGAAAGCCACTTTCTAATACTAGTTCTGTAAGTTTCCCGACGTGTCCTTGTAAAGTCGAGAACGTCCTCACTCTGGACAGATGATAGATGCATATAGCATCGTTTCGCTCCTTTTTATGCACTTTTGAAGGCTGTTTTCTTTTGTTCCTTTTCTTTTCTTCCTCTTCGCTTGTCTCGCTGCGAGATGTGGTCGTCGCCATGTTTGTGTATTTCTGATACTATGGCAACGAGACTCGGCTCCTATTGGTCGACATGACAAAAATCGCTTCACCCCCTGCATATTCGATTGCGCATGTGCAAGTAGCACTACGCCGCAGAAGGGAAATAGTTCGACACCGAAACACTGATTACTAAAAATCGACAGGATGACATGAGTAGATATTTTTTTAGTACTTACTATCAATAGAGCTTTTTTATGAATCACAGTTTATGTTTCCCCACTGAAGTGGAACGAGATTCACTTTCTAAGCACTTTTTCCTCTGTCCCAATACAGCCTATACACCGCAGAAAGGAAATAGTTCGACACCGAAACACTGATTACTAAAAATCGACTGGATGACATGAGTAGATATATTTTTTTAGTACTTACTATCAATAGAGCTGTTTTATGAATCACAGTTTATATCGCACCACTAAAGTGGAACGAACCAACACGATCTCATTCAGCCAATACAGCCTAATTGTAGGCTAAGCTAATGTGTATTCATGCCACTTCCTGAACGCAGAGTGATGGGGTGGGGAAGGATGGGGAGGCCTGTCACTCATGGCAGACCGCGCCCCTCTCAGTCGAGGCCTGCCCCCACGGAAAAACGGGCTCAAAAGTGAACCTGAAACTTTTCAAGTTGAATCTGAAAAAAGATCTGAATCTGAAAAAAAAATCTGAAACCGAAAAAAAAGTTTTGAATCCATAAAAATAAGATCTGAATCTGAAATAAATAAATAAAATTCAATCGAAAAAAAAAAAAAGTACTCAAAGATTGAAATATACATTGAAGTGAAAAATAGAAACAAGTAATTTATTCAAAAGTATTAAAAAACAGAATCAAAGTTACATTTGAACAGATTTTTTTCATGCATTCTGGTGTTTTTTCAAAGTTCAATTTCGAAATTCAAGACTTTCAGGTACCTTTTTTTTTTTTCAGGTTCAAATCTTATTTTTTCACTTCACTTTTTATTTTTTCACTTACACTACTTTTTCAATACTTTTGAGCCTGATCTGGCTCCATAGATGCCATCCTCTCAGAATCATTAAATATCAGTTGTCAAGCCATCAAAACCTAGACCCAGAAATTACAAACTACACTGTCATCACTGATGACGGCTTATGTTTGAGATAAAAATCTGAGTTAGGTCCAGGTATGTCAGGGGTATTTTATAGCAATGCAGCTATTCTTAAAGAAGGCACTTTGACAACACTCACAATGCTCGTCCTATTTTGTATTAATGTATGGCCTTGCTTTGTTGCGTCTAGACCTCAGAAAAAAGGAGATCTGTCTGCAGAGTCAAAGTGGAGGTGTCACCCACAGGATGATACTATGTTCATATAGGAAAACAGAAAGCTTTGGAGAAGGTTATGAGAGTGGAAGAAAAAAAAAAGAAAAAGAAAAGCCACAGCTGTTTACAGCAGACCAAAGCATAATGCATCTTCCTATTTTAAGTGTTTTCCTTTTACTTCTGTTAAGGTTTGCCAAGAAAAAAAGCCATAGACAGCACATTTACAAGAGACTGCAGTTGCTGAACTACAGTAACTGTCCCGAAACTACTGAAGAAAATACTGGAGAAAAACTGACAGAGAAAAGCACTACACCAAAAACAGTATTACAGTATAAGTATTAGAGAATACGGCTGAAGCCTTTGGGACTGTGACACCCCAAAAGTCATTTATACCCCATGAAAGTACGGTGCAAAAGTTGGATTACAAAGGCTCAAAAATGCCTGACTAAAGCTTACAATCCTTACTTTTTGGTTTAGAGGACAATGGAAAGCAGTCCAGGAATTACGGTGGAAAACAGAGAAAACTCCATGTGGACCAATTCACTTACCAAAGGAGTACCTGAGAGAGCGAGCAAGCGAGAGAGAGAGGGGGGGGGGGGGCGAGAGAGAGAGGGGGGGGGGGGGGAGATCAACACAATAGAAAATAGTAAAAAGTGGCTTGCATATGCCCACTAATTTTGGTTTTGGTTGGCTGACTGTTTTTTGGGGGGTCTGTTTATTTTAGAAACTGCCGTTCACTGCTTATCAGAGCTTAATTCCAAGCCCCTCTAATAAGGCTGTCTAAATGTGCTTATTCCCCCCATTTTCTGATTAAGTGATTATGTGTGGGAAGGACTGGGCCAGACCTTTATTTAGTCACTTAGCTTTATTGCTGTCCCTGCAAACAGCAGATAAATCTAGGTGTTCACAGTATAGTAGCTACAGAGGTACATCACATTCACCATGGAACATCCATCATGCACACAGTGGAAAATAATTCCATGCTGATGGAAAAATAGGTATAAACGCTTATATAACATACATAATTTTAAATATATCTTTCTCATGCTGCAAGAATATACAGCTGCATTCTCCACTGTGTATATAACAGACACTGGACAGTCTATGAAGTTGACTAAGAACTTGGTGACATGTAGAGGACACCTGTGTTGGAGGGCACATGGGATGTTAGTTAACTTGATATTTCTTCCGATCACATCAGCATGACTTAAAGGGATATTAATCTAACTCAATTTTACGCCAGAATATCCCTTTAAACACGTCTTAGTTTTATAAGCTAGCTTATACATATAAATACTCCTCTTTCTGAGTAATATTGTAGGTTAAGACTAAACAGTTGGTACTTAAGCAATGTTTAAAAAAACTACATTTATTTCTTACTTTTACAGTTTTTATTTGCTTATACTTTTTCTGGACAAGAGTCATTTGGTCTTCATTTTTTAACTGAACCCAAATTGGCTTAATAAAACTGCAACTTCCAGAATTTGTCACCGTTTTTCCAGCCCCTCACATGGAGATTTCACAAACTGCTTTAAGAATTACTATGTACAGTGTTCCAGATTTTTAAATCACATTCTTTTAAGCCAACTTGTTTAAGTATTTTTAACATCATGTATTAACCACACTCACCAGAGCTGTCCAACGTTGACCAGGGAGTGGTACAGCACCCATAGCGTAACCATGATCACCATGTTGGCCATCCCCATCACAAGGACAAATGCAGATAGTGCCATTCCTACCAGGGCAAGACCATCCAGGTTGGCATCCATATTGCTCCAGTCTAGTAACCAGAGGATGGAAGGTGTGTACGCAAAGGCTGCCAAGCCTATCTTCCCCCCAACATAACGTTTCACACTGTTGAGGTAGTTCTTGCAGGACATTAGGCCATGTTCTCCTATCAGCTGCTTGTTCTGGTTGTAAGCAATGCCAAATGCCACAACTAAAAGGATGAAAAAAAATAAGAAAGATTTAATATATAAAGGTTATTTAATACTTGTTTTGAATTCTGTGTTAAACTGCAAATGCTAACTGTGTGGCCAGTGCTCAACAACATTTGTATTATTTCAACTTGTTTTGAACATAGACAGTCATGGGTTTCTCACATGAAAAGTCAAAACCAACAAATCCGCCTTCAGCTCCAACTTCTGAAGGTAGACTAAATTTGTGTCTCAGTACAGATAGTACTTGAGCCAAGAACCAAAATTTCACATATCGGTACCACTTGGGTGGGCAAATTCTAGTTTTTTCTAGATTTTTTTATTACTATACATCCCTACAATAAGTTTTTATATGATAGACCTTGGTAACTGGTAGCTTTATTGTAGTTATCACTCATTGAAGTAATAGAGTGCAGCTGTTCAAAAATGCAGGAACTCAATATACAATCATCCTGGCTGGTAGCTGGGCAGATAACGGTAATAATCGTTCACTTGCGGATAAAAGCACCAAAATTGGCACACATACTCCTTACAGTAATATTGCATTTTGCAATAAAATTCCATAGACTTGTCCTATTTGGATGAACTTGAACTTGAACATTTTCCACTATGCAGAATTCAAATTTGGACCCATGGACTAACTTATTGGCTTCCTTGTACCATATTTCAGTCACGGAATCCTAATATTCTGGTATTTATGAGGGTTACATTATGTCCGACTTGGGTAAAATGGTTGGTAACCTATATCTTAGTGTTGTCAGTGTCAAATTAAAGTTGTGTTATTATAATGCTATTAGTCTGCACTTACTTTACTTCTACTTCTAAGTAAAAAAATATCCTTAATTTAGACCGTGATTTAGACCTGACGATTGGCTAATTGAAGCTTATATATACACACCTGTATTAGATAAATTACTTGAAATACTACTTAGGGGGTTATTACAAGTCTCTATGGCTAGCCAATAGTTCAAACACACCTAAATGAGAGGTTAAAATGAAAGAAAGCTAATTTTGAAGGAAGGCGATTTTTCATTTTTGAACAGCTGCACTCTATTACTTCAATGAGTGATAACTACAATAAAGCTACCAGTTACCAAGGTCTATCATATAAAAACTTATTGTAGGGATATATAGCAATAAAAAAATCACAACTAGAAGTTGCCCACCCAGGTGGTACTGATATATGAAATTTTGGTTCTTGGCTCAAGTGCTATGATACATGAAAGAACTGCTCCACCATCAAATTGGGCCACTCCCACTTCATCAACTCATTTAATTAAACACAGGTTTGATTCATTTGTAGAAAAGAGCAGTGTGACCCGAAAAAGTATGACTTTTAATGTGCTTTTGACTTTCTGTGTTGCTTTTGGAGTTAACAAAAATTCGCCTATTGAGGAAAATAACAAAATGAGAAAAAATATAAAAAGCTACCCCTATGAAAAGTCTATCATATTTTAATTTACTTATATTGACCCTAAAAACAATTTAGTATATGTAAGGTTTTGTCCACCCAAGTGGTACCAACATCTGGTCCGGCTCAAGGACTAAGATATTTTGATGCTTGACACCTGAATCCAGCCTTTTGTCCCAGTCTCTAAAAGACTGGTCTCCGACTCTTTCATGTCTGTGCCAGACTGTGGTGATGTGCTATACACACATCCCTCTTCTGAAAGCTTGAATACTATAATATATTCTGGTCCAAAGTGTTAAAATCTCACTGTTTCTCGAAAACGTCCCTCAGTTAAGGCTACATCTGAGTAAAACAAATTTGTTTCAAATAATTTTAATCCTTTCGAGCAGTGTTTTTCAGCCTTTCTTGAGCCATGGTACATTTTTTTCATTGAAAATAATTACGAGGCACACCACCAAGCAAAAATGTTACTCAATGACACTTGGTAGCCCCAGATACAGGTTTATACACTAATATATATATATATATATATATATTGTCTCTCAATCAATTCATACTCACCCTGGGGTGAGTCAGAAACCTGGGGCTGTAGATTACAGCACAGACACTTATAAGGGCATATTATTTGCATATAATACGTAATTAAAAAAAATATATAGACCAATAAAGTAAAATTGGATAATACACCTGACTGAAGTTGGGTACACCTGACTATCTGTCACAACACTTGTGTGCCACGGCACACTGGTTGAAAAACACTGCTTTAGAGAATCCCTAAGATGTCTGGACGGGTAAAGAGGACTTCAAGAGGCTGAGGATGAGATAACAGAAGGTGAACACCATCTAGCAGTGGGCTAGATAATGCAGTGACCATGATTATGCTTAGATCTGCACAGTAGTGCACCACTGCCAAAAAGTAGAGATCATAAGGTATTTTTGATATACGGCCAGTAAAATGATTTCACAGATGAAAATGGTCAACGATCCTTTAATCTCTTCATGTTCAGTTCGGTCAGAGTACAATACTTCTACAAGGTTTATGTGCTGTTTCTCTGGTCTGCGACATCTTTAGTCAGGCTTTAGGGCAAAGTTTAAGTGTGACCTACACTGCACAGTTGTACAAGCGATTATCACAGGGAACGTGAGGTCTTTGGGGAATAAAACGGACGAGCTCGCCCCACTGATTAAGACTCAGAGGGAATACCGTGAGTGTAGCGTTTTTTGTTTCACTGAGACTTGGCTGCACTCACATATCCCAGACCATAGCCTGGCGGCACCCGGCTTCAGCGTTGTTTGGGCGGACAGAGACGTTATTAGCAGTGGTAAGAAGAAGGGAGGAGGGATTGCACTGTATGTGAGCGAGAGGTGGTGTAGTCCCGGACATGTGCATGTGAAGGAACGTCTCTGTGAACCTGCCCCGGGAATTCACGTCCGCCATTGTGATCGCTGTTTACATCCCCCCATCAGCTGATGCACCGACGGCCTGTGACGTCATCACCAACACCGTTGCCAGGGTACAGACTCAACAGCCCAATGCTTTCACTGTTATTACTGGAGACTTTAATCATGTCTCACTGGACAAAGTTTTACCAACATTTCAGCAGTATGTTGACTGCCACACCAGAAAAAATAGAACCCTGGATCTGCTGTATGCAAACACCAGTGATGCATACAGCACCACAGCCCCCCCCCCCTGGCAGATCAGATCACAACCTGGTCCTGTTAACACCTAAGTATGTCCCCATTGTTAAGAGGCAGCCTGTTCAAACAATGACGATGAGGCGGTGGTCTGAGGAGGCTGCTGAGGCACTGCAGGACTGCTTTGAGTCAACGGACTGGGATGTACTCTGTGAGCCACACGGGGAGGACATCAACAGCATGACAGACTGCATCACAGAATATATCAGGTTCTGTGAAAACTCCACCATCCCAAACCAGACTGTACGCTGCTTCCCCAACAACAAGCCATGGATCACCAGTGACTTGAAAGCCCTCCTTAATAAGAAGAAGAGGGTTTTCAAGTCCGGTGACAGAGAGGAGCTGAGGAGAGTGCAGCATGAACTCAGGGAGAAACTGAGAGGGGGTAAAGACGCCTACAGGAGAAAGCTGGAGGCCAAACTCAGCAAAACAATGTGAGGGATGTGTGGACTAGGATGAAGCACATCACAGGATGTAAAGGGAGACAAAGGCAACCATCAGGCAGCCTGGAGAGAGCCAACGAGCTGAACTTTCTTTAATAGGTTCAGCTCACAGCCATCTGCCTCCCTCATACATCCAGCCCCCCACACTCCCTCACCACATCAACCTCTCCCCCCTGTGGTGAACATTCCTGTGCAGCACCTCTCCTCCCCCTCCCCTGGAGACATCAGCACCCCCCCACACATGACCATGACTACGAGCCAGGTTAGGAGACAGCTGTTAGACGTCACTACTACACATGGACCAATCAGGGGCTGCCTTTCCCTGTTGTCTGGGTAACAGTGGAAACACGGTCTCTGATTGGCCCGGTTATTTTCTGATCGGGAATACACGCTCTCTATGGGCCGAAGTCCAGACTGTGGTGGGAAGGAACGTCAAGTGATTCACGCAACAGGATGGCCCGGCCAGGCTAGACAGACAGCGGAGCTCCTTCTCCAACAGACTGTTGCAGCTCCGCTGTCGTAGGGACTGATACAGGAAATCTTTCCTGCCACAAGCTATTGCACTATTTAATAACTCTCATCTGTCAGACAGGGACTCACATCTGTCTGCTGTATAGTCCATTTTAAAACTCCGACCAAATCACATTACTGAGCACCTTAGACTGTTTGTCTGTTTGTTTATTTATTATCCCATCTGTAATATTTTGCTTTCCTATTTATTACCCATTCAATAGCCCAGGTTCTTCATATCTCACTTTTACCTCTTAGGATGTTTAGTATATTTAGTCTGTATTTAGTGCATATACTTAGTACTTTTAGTCATTTTAGTCTGCACTGTACTTACCTCTTCTTCTATTTAATGCTATTTGTATTTTCCCTTTGCTGCTGTAACAAGAGAATTTCCCAGTTTGGGATCAATAAAGTACATCTATCTATCTATCTATCTATCTATCTATCTGACATATCAGATGCTGAATTTTTTCTGTTTTATCATCTCCTAATCTCTAATTGTGGACTGTTTAGAGGTGAGATACGTTCAAGTGGATTAGCTACAAGAACAGAAACAGTAAACTGAGACCACAGCCCTCATTACAAAGTAAAAACTGTCTAAGAAAGATGCCGGTAAGAGAAGAGATGGAGAAAATATGAAATCCCGGAACCATGGCACTGTTGTAGCCCAGTCCAAATCTATGCCCCCATTAGAGGTTCTTCAGTAACAACATACTCACCTGATGCAGGGCCAGCTTTGGGACGCTCAAAAAGTTCGAGTCCATTGTGGTCGTTTTACAATCTCTTTCCCACTATTTTCGCATCATAACAAATCAGCCGTGGCAAATTTACTGAATATAAGTGCCTGTCTTTTTCTGGCGGTAGTGGGCGTTATGAAAAAAAATAATAAATGAGAAAATTTAATTAATGTGAAATACTTACAGTAAATAAAGGCCACAGAGCGCAGCAGCACGACACGAGTAAGCCAGTAAGTCCCGGTCTGCAGGGGCTGAAACCCTCTCCCTCGGTCTGTGTCTCTGCTGGACTCTGGGCGGTAGCTGCTGTCCTCAGGTGTGGAGTCTGTCTTTCTGCTCCCTAAGTGCCTCTTTCTGACACCGATATTTGTACCCTCAGCCGCTGGGTCCGCCATGCTCTTGGTCACTCTGAAAGAAGAAGAAGAAGAAGTTCTTCTCCTAATTTTATAAATAGTGAGCAACGAACATCAACGCGCATTACCGCCGCCTACTGGACCAGTGTATGAAACGGGACAGGAAAATATGAAGGATATGTTTGTTTGTTTTTTAACTTCTTGATTTAAATAGGTTGATCCTACGGAGCCCTCTGGTGACATTGGAGGAGAAAAATGGCCTCGCGTTATTAACGACAGAAAGTTAATGTGTGGCCATGAGATAATTCACCTTCAGTGGTGGGATCTGTCATTTTTAGAGTGATACAGAGACTGTAGATTGTTAATATGGACAAATTTTAATTAATGTTGACATGTAGTTGGGTCAATGACGTGACGCCTAAATATTCTGTCCGGCTGTATTTTCTTTAAGTTACAAAAAGGTTTATATGTAAAAGAAATATATGCTATCTATGTGTGGTATCTCTCTTATGCATGTAGTAGTCACTTTAATTTTTCAAAAATCAGGATGTATTTTTAATTTTTCTGAAACTTAAAGTGTCAAAATATCATGTGGTGCGACCGTCCAGCCATGACTGCTGTTTTGAAAACTTCTTTGAAGTAACTCTAAATCTATTACAATTTAGTTTCTGCAATATTTGGCATGATTTACAGTGTGTTAAGTGTTTTATATTCCTGTTCAAAACTGCAAACCTTTTGCAGTTATATTTTGATATTATACAAATACATTTTGTCTGATCATGTCCATTTCTTTAAATATCATGTGGTGCGACCATCAAGAAATGACCATTTTTGACACTTTAATGCTAAAATCTACTCAAGGACAGGAAGTTGCATCATTCACCATTTTGTTATAGAGCTATGGACGCAGAAAGGAGGTTGGTGGCTCTCTCATTTAAAAAAAAAAAAAGACCTTTCCAACTGCTGTAATGGAGTTGCCAAATTTGGATATCATGTGGTATGACCTCAAAAAAACAAAAAAATAATTTAAGTTATTTCCACAAATATGTATTTCAATTATAAATTTCATAGTGACCTTTGGTGGGAAGCTAGCGAGCTTTGTTTATGTGGCTAATCCTGCATCAGAAAGATTTGACTGAACTTGAAAATGTCATGCGGTGCGACCAATTATCATATGGTATGACCACTGCAGATTGTTTTCCATCATAGATATATGGCCTAGATTGGCAGTATCTGTGCTTTTTATATTCAATTGATGATTGATAAACACTACGTACTTAATTTTTTGTATTATTTTGAATTTTTTTTTGTTATTTGATGAGTCATTTTGCTAATATTTCAGAAATAATGGTTAGTTCATCTTTGTACAAAACAAGAAAAACAAATATTAAAAGCATGCCATTTCACAAATGCAGCTGTTAGCAATTTATTAATTTTTATGTATCTATTTAACTCATTTTAACTCTTCCAGTCAACCTACGAACCACTTTGACGGATGTTTTTAGATTTATTTTTATTTGCTCCCACGTACTCTTTTCCCCACTGCTGTTGTATCTGAAATAATGAGGTCAATGATGGTGGTGATCACACACACTGCATGACAACATATTAGGGGGCCATAAATTTATGAATGCACAAATTTAATTTGCACAATCAGTGATTTTTTTTGCCAGCAGTCCCTTCAGCTGTCCTGCTGCTCACTGTTGTAATGTTGCGGTACTCCTCGTCTTTGCGTAAAATAATGCTCTGTTCCTCAGCTGTGAAATATGACGTGCAGCCTTCTCCATTGTGCAGATTGGTCCGGTGGCACGGACCCCACCCCCTTTACGTGTGCGCGCACACATAAAGCTCGACTGACCACAACTGAATTTAGTTAGCTAGTTGATATCCTGCCTCGTCGTACAGCAGATTGGGATTGTGGAGATCCGGTGAAGTTGAGTGAGTTGTGGCAGCATTATCCTTGGTGTGTTCATCCAGTGTGAGAGATGAGATGAGAGATGAGATTCAATTTATTGTCAATGTACAGTACAAGTACAGTACAGCGAAAAGTATTTTCGCATCTCACCAGAGTGCAGAGTAAACATGTCAGTGCTAGAAATTGAATAAATAATTATGTGTATTATAGCGATAAATAATAAATAAATGCACTCAATACTGTCAGATTAATATTGCACAGAAGTGCTAGACTAAGGTCCAGGTCCAGTGACCATATTGCACATGTCCACAGGATGAGTTAAGATACAGCAGGAACGTGGGTGGGTGGAAGGGGAGGGGGGGCTATTACTGGAGGGGGGAGAGGAATGGATGAGGAGTTTAGGGAGATGACAGTGGAGGGGAAAAAACTGTTCCTGAGTCTGCTTGACTTGGAAGCTAGATTCCGAGGGGAGGAGGGTGAACAGTCCGTGGTTGGGATGAGAGGGGTCTTTGATGATGCTGTGAGCCTTCCTCAGGCACCGACTGTCATAGATGGTCTTAATGACAGGGAGAGATGTACCAGTGATGCGTTGGGCAGTTTTCACCACCCTCTGCAGTGCCTTTCGGTCAGAGGCAGTACAGTTACCATACCAGACCGTGATGCAGTATGTGAGGATGCTCTCAATGGCACAGCGATAGAAATTCCCCAGTATCTGAGGAGATAGATGAGCTTTCCTCAATCTCCTCAGAAAGAAGAGACGCTGATGGGCCTTCTTGACCAGGGACGAGGTGTTGAGGGTCCAGGAGAGGTCCTCAGAGATCTGTACGCCCAGGAATTTGAAGCTGGAGACCCGTTCGACCTCTGCTCTGTCGATGTAGATATGCGTGAGTGACAGTCCTAGTCCTCCTGAAGTCCACGATTTCCTCTTTGGTCTTGTCGGTGTTCAATGTCAGGTTGTTGTCGGCACACCACGACGCCAGGTGCTGTATCTCCTCCCTGTAGGCTGTCTCATAGTTGTCTGTGATGAGGCCCACCACCGTTGTGTCGTCTGCAAACTTAATGATGGTGTTAGAACCATGCATGGGAGTGCAATCGTAGGTGAAGAGGGAGTAGAGGAGGGGACTCAGCACACAGCCCTGTGGGACACCAGTGCTCAGGGTTAGGGTAGAGGAGGTGAGGTTGCCAATCCTAACAGACCGGGGCCTGTTAGTGAGGAAGTCGAGGATCCAGTTACAGTTTCAATCAATCAATCAACTTTATTTCTAAAGCACATTTAAAAGAACCACAAGGGTAGCCAAAGTGCTGTACAATGACACATAAAAACAAATAAAACAATCAAAGAACAGGATAAAGCGAGCAGAAATACATTAATGCAAAAGAATAAATAAGTATATAAATAAGCAGGCTCACGGCAAGTGCTAAGATGATAAAAAACAAATTAACACTACAATGTATCAAAAGCCAAGGAGTAAAAGTACGTTTTTAAAAGGGAATTAAAAATGGGAAATGAGGAAGCCTGTCTAATTTTCAAAGGCAACTCATTCCAGAGCTTAGGGGCAGCAGCGGCAAATTCTCTGTCCCCTCTGAGCTTCAGCCTTGTATTGGGGACCATTAGTAACAGTTGATCAGCTGATCTTAGGGGTCGGGGTGGGCAATAAGGTCGGAGCATCTCAGAAATACAGGGTGGAGCAAGATTGTTCAGGCCCTTGAAAACAAATATTAAAAGCTTAAAATGAATTCTGTACTGTACAGGGAGCCAGTGTAAGGATGCCAGGATGGGGTGATGTGCTCACGCCTAGCTGCAGGCGGGCAAGGGAAGCCTGGCTAATCCCTATGTACAAAGAGTTACAGTAATCAAGACGGGTAGTGATGAAAGCATGGATTAATTTTTCCAGGTCAGATCTTGATAAAATGGGCTTCACCTTCGCTATTTGACGTAGCTGATAAAAACTTTTTTGTACCACCCCGCTGATCTGCTTCTCAAATTTAAAATCAGGGTCAAACATAACTCCCAGATTAGTGACGACATCCTTCAGATAGGGAGCCTAGGTTGATGTTGGAGGGGTGGCCGCCACTTGGTCCAAACATCATTACTTCGGTCTTGTTCTCATTAAGTTAAAAGAAAGCCAGGCTTTAACGTTCTGAAGACAGTCAGTGAGTTGTCGGACTGAGTCGGAGTTGTTCTGTGCTAGTGGAAGATAAATCTGGCAATCATCGGCATAAAAATGAAAGGAAATGCCATCTAAAAACAGAACCAAGGGGGAGTAGATAAAAGGCAAACAAAAGAGGGCCGAGGATTGAGCCTTGGGGGACCCCATGTGGAAGAGGAGCTGTTGACGACACAGAGTTGTCTAGTTGAATGCAGAAACTTCTGTCCGTTAAGTAAGACCTGAACCAGTCCAGGGCGACACCCTTAATGCCCACACAGTGCTCCAGGCGAGAGATTAAAATGCTGTGGTCAACAGTGTCAAATGCAGCAGACAGATCCAGGAGCACTAGGGCAACAAACTTTCCAGAGTCCATTGACATGAGAATATCATTAGACACCTTTAAAAGTGCTGACTCTGTACTGTGGAGAGCTTTAAAACCAGACTGAAAAAACTCTGTGATACCATTATCTTCCAAAAAATGGTAACAACTGATTGTAGACAACCTTCTCTAGAATCTTGGACAGATATGGAAGATTTGAGATGGGTCTGAAACTGGCACAGAGGGATGGCAGTTTTTTTAAGTAGAGGTCGTACTACAGCATGTTTAAAATCCCCAGGTACTGTACCAGAGGAGAGGCTACTATTTACAATATTAAGGACACTTGGTCCAATAGTAGCAAGTACTTCTTTAAACAAGCGAAAGGGGGATGGCATCTGCAGAGGAACCAGAAGGCTTCATATGGCTGACTATGTCCTTTAAAATAGAGAGGGACACAGGCTCAAATTTAGCAAAGACAGATGAGGGGTGCAGGGTCATACGAAGGTTGAGAGATACAGGCTCTGGTTGACATAATTTTATCAGTGAAGAAGTGGAGGAATTTTTCACAGATTTCAGTGGAGGCATCAAAACCAAGAGACTTGGGAGCCTCGAGGACAGTGTTTATGGTTTTGAACAGAGCTCTGGGGTTGTTACAGTT